AGGTTATTGATCTTGTTCTCATAAATTAGTGAAATCAAATTAACAAAGAATAATGGGACAGTGTGCAAAGGCTGCACACCAAACACCAGCATTTACACTTTCTGATCTGAGATGTCAGGATTATACCTTGCCTCACCACGGGTTGCAATCCTTTGAGCAGCATTTGCCATTGTAAAATAGACACCTATTAATGTTCTATATATATAATCCTGAAGATCGTGAAACATTCAAGCCTTATTCAATTTCCTGCTGTTGTGAAATTGATGTTTAATGAAATAATTATACCTTTGACTTAACACTTGGGAGTCCTTTGGGTAACAAGGCATCTGTGGAGATTGTACTGTTGACGCCTGCTGTATAATACTGGAATAAATGATACAATCAAGCTTACAGGTTCAGGATGGCTAGTAGATTTATTTATACGTACAAAATAATATAGTTCAAAACAAAAACAACCCCAATAGATCCCTCTCCGCCATTGTTTAGAAGAAGTGTGAAGACCTGGCTTTTCATCCAGGCTTTTGGCAAGGAAGAATGAGACAACTTCATCGGACTTGTTATCTTTTATGTTTAATGTCCAATTAATTTTATTTGCTTCATCATCGTGAGCTGGCCCAGTGTTGTTGAGAGTTGGGCAGCACATTCAATTAAAGTTGGTCACCTTTATGGGTGTTTACACTGGATTTGGCATTTTTATCCATCTATTGAATCCTTCCCAAGGTAATTCTAATCCTAGCCCTGGTCCTTCCCAAAGATCTGGGATAGGCAAATGTTGCTTGATGATACTCAATATATCATGACAAGAAATATAAGCTGTTCCAAGTAAAGCTGCCTTTTATAGTTGACTGATGGGGATTTTGTCAATGCTGGTACTCCAAACTCCATATGTTTTTGTGTTGCATCCACTACAGATACTATCTTTGCTTTCTTTTGCCACAGTCATTCTAGTTGTAGGTCTTTGTATTTTGTTATTTTATCTCCAGTTCTTTTGCTTCTCTTCTGCTGTCTCCAGGTACTGCAATGTCCTCTATCAACGTTGTCTTTTTAAAAAAAATCAACAATTGTTGTCTAGCGTGTTATGTTGTCTGTTTGGTTTTTGAACTCCCAAAACTTGTTTTTTCTTTTTCTATTTACTTTGTCTATTTCATGATCCCACCAGTTCTTGCTTGCCATATTTCCTGCAGATATTCCAATGTGCTATTGTCATGAGTTGTGTGTAGTCAATTGATGCTATTTTGTCATGAGTTGTGTGTAATCAGTCTGTGCAATCTTCTTGCAACAGCTAACTAGATGGCTCACTGTTTACTCAGCTTCTTCGTATTATGGGTCTTACTTTGCAGCCTGTGGAGTGAGCAGGGGGGTTGCTTTCTGATTCTCTTTCTCTGCCCATTATGCAGCTGTGTGGTATATGTCCCCTGATCTGAGCGTTTCCTAGACAGCCTGTCTTTCCCGTTTCCCAAAGCCATTTTCACATACCATTAAATGTTTTGTCAGATGGGCAGCCATATAAATGGGGAAAAAACCATTTCTGTTTAGCAACAATATATACTATCAGGACTATTTAGGAATGAAAGAAGAAAGCAATGAGTCTTTCCACTTTCACCAGTTTATTGTGAACCAAATAAAGGTGGATGTACACAGGCATTTATCTATGTACTTCTTCATATATTGTAGAAATTTCACACTAAGTCTTGGATTCAATTCCCAGCATCTAAAGTTAGAAAAGCCAGTGAGGGAAACAAATTCTTTTGAAGGACAGTTGCTAGTTAAAAGCAAATTAATATTAAATTAAATGGTCAGATAGACTGACTGGGTCATAATGGGGTTGTTGTCCTATGATCAGTGTGATTCAGACTTTCTTGTTGTGTGATATAAACAAAGTTTTGATTGATTGACTGATCATATATTCATTTCACAGGCATCAGTTATTCTTCAAAACACAGAGTCTTTCATAATAATTGCAATATGAATTTAGGAAAAGGAGAAATAGACATGATGATCCTGATTGTAGGCCTCCCAAGGGGAAAAGTAGTAGTATTCCCAGTATACTTTGAATTTCACAGTTCCAGGGAGCAGAGAAAATGGAACACAGAAATACAAATTGCTGCAATTACTTCTTACAAACCTGCTTAATAACTACTATTCTATCAACATATTAATGACGGGCCTATTGAGGAAGGTTACCAGTACTTTTGAACATTGTTGGACCTGAAAGGGATACCAAGTTGACTGCTCTGAATTCAAATGCATTTTGGCTACGGTGATAGGAGAACTCCGTTTACGGGCCAGCATGCACTCATTCTTTGGTTCAAATGAGCACTTTTGTCCAAAACGTTTATAAAGACTGAACTCTATGATGTCACAGAAGTCCTTGACACCAAGTATGCTGATGAGAGCAGATCCCCTCTTTGAAGTGTTAAAGCAGTAGTGTTCTCTTGAAGACTTCACATAGCTGCTTAAAAGGGCCTTTTCAGGCTGTCTGCTGTGGGCTAATTATTTTACTGGCATTACAAGCAAATCAGCTTTGGGTGCAAATACATGAGATATTCAGGGGAAAGCTTTCACAATACCAGTGCTGAATCTTTTAGAGCAGTGTTTCTCAAACTTGGCAGTTTTCAGATATATGGACTTCAATTCCCAGAATTCTGAGTTTAGGAAACATTTTGTTAATGTGAAGTTCTCCTTTCAAAACAATTTACATAGCTATATAAAAATACAAAATGCTGGAAAATTCCCCCCCACCTCAGGCAGTGTCCCACTTATAAAAACTGCTGCAATCTGCCATACAGCTATTTCTGATATTCAATTACTTGGGCAACTGAACTCAATCCATTTTCCCTCACGGAAATCCTTCATTCTTGAATACCTGAAGCACAAAAATGAGTGAATGACGAGGGAGAAAGCCAAGAAGACATTTTACCTTACATAGTTTGACTATTTTACCAGCAAACTTTTTGAAGCCCAGCCAAGGGTCTAATTAATACATTATTTAAGTTCAATTGAGATTGGAGAAAAAAACCATAGCTAGCCCATATATGACATGAGACAAATCTTCTCTCTATACACTATTTTACAGCTAAGTAAATATGTGCAGACAGGAGTGCTCGTTATCTTCTCCATTGTGCATTGTTTCAGCTAATTCCTAGCCTGTATTTGCTGATTTCATCATGTTAAGGTGGGATACAGTGACATTTCTGAGAAGTGCCACCTCATGCTGTTATGTTTCACTGCTAAAACATTTCAAAAGGATCAAGGAGAAGGGTCAGGAAAGTTGCTTTCAATGATGACAAAGATTCTGACCTTTTGTCTAATAAATAGGGGAGAATTTTAATCAGCATCAGTGAATCTGAGCACTTCCTAAGTTGCAACTACATCTTATCCCTGGATGTATTGATTGTGGGGGAACAGTTGATTCAGTTTGATTGATAGACTGTGTGTAGGTGGGTAAACAGATCAAAGTGTCAATTAAATGGTTGCTGGATGTATGGATCCACATTTATTAATGTTTAGATATTAATCTTTGTACCAATGACAAAAGTTCTTTCCTATCAGTTTTAAGAACTATATGTATTTCAGGAATTCTTTCATTAGCTGAAAACATATTTGAAGGAGGAACTAGATATACCAAATGTTCCTTTCAAAAATGTGTTTCTTAAGCAAGTGCACATTAAGCAATGTTGCTTCTAATTCAGATTTTTTTTATTGGCACCTCAATTACTTTTCCTTTACTTGAAAGGAATAAATTTAAAGAACATCACTAAGAAAGAACCCTTTCTACTTTATCATCACAAGACACACACACACACACACACACCAGCTGAAACATCTGGAAACTTATCACACTTGCAATGTTACGAGTAGCTGTGCACCCTGCTTCTGAGGAATAGTAAGGTAGAGCTGGAGAAAAGCTAACACAATGGTAGAGGAATTGGAAGCAACACAACAGTTTGAGGGGTAAAACACAAATTGCAATAAGAGGAGGTAACCACGGCATATAACATTGGGCATAGCACGAATGAAGTATAGATAAATGTTTCTCTCTGTCACATACATTAGCAGAAGGCAGAGCTACTATGATTAGTGGGAAATTCAAGGCAACTAGTGATTGGGTTCACACATTATGTTATGCCATGTTTTCACTATGATTTATTGAATACCATAATTTGTTGGGGTTTGCAGAACATGCTCAGCCTTAAAATCATGATTTACAAGTTATAATGGCTAGGTTCTCATGACACGTTTCTCTACATACTGCATTTTTAGAATTGTTTAGAACAAAGTGTGGTGAGGGCCCCAATTCAGATGGATCTAAAAAGGAAGCAGACAAATTAATGGAGAGTAAGACAATCAGTAGCTACTAGTTATGATGTCTTTTTTCCAGGCTTCCCAGTCACTGTCCCACCTGTGACACTTGATGCAGGAAGAGGAAAACCTGTGATCTGACCCAACCAGGTTCTTGTGCTATCTGTCACACTGCAGTGTTTTTATATAATAGCATGGAAGATTTTACAGGTCTTCTTCAGGGAATTCCAAATCAAGAACATAACAGTACAGGTTGAGTAGTAAGCATCCCTTTATTTGCTGACACCATTACAAAAACTGATTACATTAGCAACCCAAAAAAGAGAGAGTAGGGAGGAGGAGTGTTGACTTCAGGTAGAAGTTACAAGGCTGCTACTCCCAAACCGTATCTAAGTAAAACAGCACAGGCTGTCAGTATTAAAATGTTATTGTTGATGCTACTGCTACCACTATGTCAAGGGTGCGTGCATGTCTCTCTCTGTGTGAACGAGTTTTACTGAGCATAGTAAAGATAAAAGGTTACACGTTTATTGTAGCTCCAGGAATGTAAAGCTCTAATTATCCAAACCGGTTTATTTAAATTTATTTATTATAAAACTAAACTCTGGAGGTGTCTGCAGAGTCGTCTTCTTCATCATCTTGTTTAAATCAGTAGTCTAACAAAGAGTAGAAAAGACAAAACTCTGTTCAGTGTTTGACGAAGTAGAAAGGGTGAACACATAAATAAGGCTTTAATTTGGCAAAATACAAAATACATTGCCTTCTGCTACCCCCAAATTAAACGATCTCCCCATGATTTCATTCTGCAAAAGAGAAGCAAAACAAAACAAAAACAAAACAAAATGAAAAGATAAGCTTAAAGATAAGGTAGTCACTATGGCAAACTATTTTTATTTTTACAAAATAACAGAAAAATATGTCATATTTTGGGAGATCCGGTTCTGTTATATACTAAGAATCAGGAGATTTTTTGAAAATAAGAGGTTTTGAGGCAGGAAAAAAGTCAATATTCAGCATGTATAGTTTTCTTAAAGCTAAAAAATAATACTAAGTAAGCCCAAATTCAGAATTTACTAAATAGAATTAATTAAAATTAACTTTGTAAAGAAGACAGAAAATTAAAAATCCAAATTCCATATCTGTCCACACCTATGTTTACATTTATAAACAAGATTTTTGTTACCGCAGAATGAAAATAATCATTAAAATCACAGGTGTGAAAAAATATTTGCCCTGTACAAGAGCAGTAAAAGCAGCTGCAAAGGATAAATGCAAATCCATGGGAATGCTACTGGGAATTTTGAAAATGACAGTTTCAATATTTCTGTAGGCTGTTGATTGGGGAAAGCTGGACTGCATTGACTCTTCCTAATGTATTATTTTGTAAGGAGAAATAATCCACAATGGTATTTCAACCAAAATGCAAGGCTGCAAGATTCTATGATTTGATTACTGCTGCCTACAGTGCAACTAAAAACTTCGCCAGTTACTTTTGCCTTCCTGCTTAAGTCCATCTTAGGAAAACAGACTCAAACTTTCCTACCTAATAGCTGATACTGTTCTTTTCCCTTTGTGAGCATTTGGCCAACTGATGCAAGAAGCTGCTTAAGATGAACAATATCTTGAATTAGATTCACATTATCTGGATCGGCCTGAAAGGGATGGAAGAAAGAAAGTATTAGAAACTTTGGAGCAGAGGAGGCCAAAGGAAGTGAACAATTAATTTTAGGATATGAGCTAGATACTTAGTCGAAGCCTCACCCCTTAGATAAGGTCTCTTCATTCTAAGAATCTTCGTTTAACCTTCATTCAGCTATTTCAAATCATGGCCAAAGGACTCCCTTTTCTCCAGGACAAGCAGTGGGAGCATTTGCTCAGATTTCTTGGCTTTGAAACATTTTGGATAGTCACTTCAAAAACTCTTTAAACTCCTCCCACCCGCTGGGGCCAGCTTTTTTATTGAAAAAAATTATGCAATTAGGAAACGATGTCATGGAGAACTATACTAGATCAGATCTCTTTGATGTGCTACCTTTTTATATGAATGTTTTTATTTTTTTCATTGTATGAGGCTTTAGTGGTGCCCTAAACCAGAACAATAAAGATATATACAATAAAAGCTAGATCACCATCATCATAACAAAACAGCGTTCCAAAACATGTTTATAGTACTTGCCAGAATATTATTAGCCTGCCATCTGGTGGTCTTTAGCAGTGTTTTTAAACTTTGCAATTTTTAAGATGTGAATTCCACAAAGAGCATGTTGGCTGGGGAATTCTGGGAGTTGAAGTCTACACATCTTAAAATTGCCAAGTTTGAAAAATACTGGTCTATAGTTACCTGGCCAGGCCCATAAAGACATGTACTAAAGAAGCTGCAAAATCATAGTACAGTTACAGTTGATTTGGAGTCAGGTGGTGCCTAAACTGAACTAAATAAGTAAATAAAAATATACAATACCTATAGACTTCTAAACCAAATCTCCAATGGCTTCTACAACCCAAACACCAGTTTTATTTAAAGGTCATGGTGGACTCCTTATGCCAAACAAATGAAACCATGCAAAAGTGGGATGTAGAATTTCTATTATATTCAATGTCCGCAAATGATACAGACCAAAACGCACAGGATAAATCAGCCTCTAGACTGTCTGCTTTGTATCTGCACTTCCTAAGGCAAATTATTTATATATCTGGGAAAATACTCACCGTCTGTGAACAGACATCACTGTTCTGTATCACTTCGGGGGCCCTACTAGTTTTCCCTATTTCCCTTTCTAGAATCACCAGTGATTCCTGGGCCTTTAAGAAAGCAAAAAATAAAAAAAAAGTTATTGCTTTAAAATATCCAATCATAATCAAAAAATTTTTTAAAGAGGGAGTAAAGACAACAAACAGCCCTAGACCCAGACATGAAGTTAGACTGGCTGGAGTACATTTCAGTATTTGAAAGGATCCGATAGATCATTATTTTTCATTCTAGATCGCAAGTGTAATCAATGAAAAGATGACAAGAAATGTTCCAGTATTGCATGTTTTTCCAAGCTCCTAATGACCAAACTACAGATTTCAAAAGGCGGGGGGAGAGTTGAGAAGAAAATTACACTGACATAGCTCAGTGAGAGATAGATGAGTATGAGAGCTGGAGTTTCCTATTCTACCCCCAAGTCTCTGAATCAGAATGTGTCATAAGCAACTACTAGGAATGGCAATGGGGACGAAGAGGCAATGCTCATATTTACTGCATTTATTATTTCAAGTTAATATCTTTAAAAACTGAAATGTAGGCATAATTACTACATTTGCAAACAGTTCTACAAGCACAGATTCACTCAGCATAGAAAGCTAACAAAAATACATAAAACATTAGAAAAAGAAAGCTAACAATGGTTACAGTTTCCAATCAAACATCTCTGGTTTTCCCTGTGTGGGAATTAATCTGAGGAGCCATTGTTTCCCAAAAACAAAACAAAACAAAACAAAACAAAATTCCAAATACAAGGCTTAACCAATGAAAAGTAAACTTTCATCTACATATTGTTTAGAAAAATTCTTGCTCCAGAAGTGTTGCAGGATTGCAAAACAAATAAAAAATAACTAAGGCTATAAACAGTAAAAAAAACAACCCATCAAAGTCTGCAGTAGTGACTGATGTTTTTTTTTTTACTGTTTATAGCACTAGTTATTTTTTGTTTTACAGCCCTGCAATACTTGCATTCAGGGGCAGGAACTTTTATTAATTACTCATTAAATCAATAATAAGAGTTGTCAACAAACTTTCCTGACAAAAATAATATTTTAAAGGGAACATTCCACCAAAAAGGAATTTTTGCAGAATCTAGGAGATCATCTGAATGTGAGGAGATGCTCTCGTTAATTTAAGTAACATTTTGGAACTGCTATTTCCAAATAAACTTCGTAAGGACAACTTCACATAAAATGCATTGCTATGAACTAACAGGAGCGTTATTGAGGTATGAATCACCATGACTTTTCCCGGAGGAGCTAGAATTGGCACAGCAACCTTAACAGATATTTCCATGACTAATTTGAATCTATCACTACCCCAGACTGTATATAGAACTTTAAGAAAAAAAATAAACTTTCATCCAGAATCGGTTGGCCATTATGTTCCTAGGAAGGTAGAACATCAACCATAGGATTCCTTACCTTTGGCAAATCAGCAGCTAATTGGTGTCTTTCATTCAGATCAGTTAAAAGTTTAGATGATGTCTCATTCAGCTGGGTTTTGAGCTGTAAGAGGTTAAGTCAGGGTCAGATCACAATGCTTAAGAGGAGCATGGGGCAGTTTGTGGTAAAGTAATATACATATAAGAATATATGCATACTGAAGACAAATCGCTACAAAGTACATTGAGTGATAGGAAATTCCATTTGCAAAGAAGTTAAGAAGAAAAAATAAGTCAGAAAGAGGTTAAAATCAGTAGAGGGAATCTTAAACAAGTATTATTTTTAATGCCTTGTCAGCATTACCAGTGAAAGTGAACAGATTCTTCATAAGTATACTTTACAGGTAGTCCTCAACTTACAACAGTTCATTTAGTAACTGTTTGAAGTTACAACAGCATAGGAAAAAGTGGCTTATGACCATCTTTTCACACTTACGACCATTGTAGCATCCTCATGGTCATGTGATCAAAATTTGGATGCTTGGCAACATGTTCATATTTATGATGGTTGCAGTGTCCTGGGGGTCACATGATCATCTTTTGCAACCTTCTGACTAACAAAGTCAATGGGGAAGCCACGTTTACTTAACAACCATGTTACTAACTTAACAACTGCAATGATTTACTTAAGAACTGTGACACAAAAGGTCTTAAAAAGGGCAAAATTCACTTAACAAATGTCTTGCTTAGCAACGGAAATTCTGACTCGATTGTGGTCATAGGTCAAGGACTACCTGTATTGGCTTGAGATTTAAAGTTGACCAGAGATTATTATTTTGGACACTAGATAAGTAACTCTCCATAAACTGCAAATTGAAGTGATCAGAATAAGTACTTTTATGGATATAACTTTGCTTTGTTGTCTGCAGATCAGTTTTTAAAAACATGAGGAACACTTTCCCAAGACAGTATTTAGATGTTTTCTGTTGAGTTTTCAGGATCTGAATCAATAGGTGGAAATAGAGATGAAAATAATCTCCAGAAAAAAAGAAAAGGGGGGTGGGATTTCTGTGGAACCAGTTCCCTGCTAAAAATGATACTGAAATATAAATTCTCCAGAATTGGCTCAAAAATCTGTTCTTAATTGTAGATTTACAAATCATTTAAGCCAATCTTTTAGTAAAGATTGGTCATGTAATTTGTGTCCGTCATTCCCCAACTGCTCCCAAATATGACAAATTCATGTGGTTCAACAAAGAGACAATCTTTTTCACTTGCTATTTACATTAGGTTAATGTACATTGGAGATCTTTCATTTGCTTTCTTCTTTTGATCTCTCTATGGTTAGGCTTAGTTTTTCTTCACCAAATGGAAGTGGCTCCCTTGGCCACAAGACACTCCAGTCTTAGTTGGGAGTCCATTCCCTTTAGATGGCTAATAAATAGATATGCTCTTTTCCACACTGAGTAGGCCCTCTGGGTCTCAAGCTCCATATTCAGTCAGTTTTTAAGGAAATTAAAAAAATAACTCCCCTTCCTTAAGCTGATAAACCATGTTATCCCATAGAATCATAGAACTGGTAATAGATTTTTCAATCAGTGGTTCCAACCAGTGGGTTGCTGCCAGTTCGGCTGAACCGAACTGCGCAGATGAGTTGCGCATGCACGAGCAAACCAGTAGTAAACCGGCTAGCAACCCACCACTGGTTCCAACCCTTTGTTTGGTAGCCCAAATTAACATTCTCCCTACAAACAGCTGCTACACGTCTTCTGCTTGAACTCAATGAAGAATGGCTACTACCGTGTGGGTATTTCATTCCAACATCACGCTGGTCCTACACAGGAAGCTTTCCTACCATTGAAATTTATTTCTCTGTAACTTTGTTATTTCAATTCTTATATTCTGAAACTACAGCGAATACATTGTGTAACCCTGTTGAAGAATATGAAGGCTAAATATATCCAACTTCTCCAATGGTCTTCACAGACTTAATTTCCAGTCCTATAATCATCTTCATTGCTCTTCTGTGAATCCTGATAATGTCCAATGCTGAGAATTGGATAAAACTCTTGAGGTGTCATTTGCGTATTCCAACATATTTGCATACAAGATGGGATTGTTCAATTTTTTCTTATCAGCAACTAAAACTGCTTTCAGGAAAGGAAATGCACAGTTCAAATAAAACCAAAGATTTTCCTCCAAACAATCCTACACCAACAGCCAAGCCCAGTTCCTCTGTGTTCTGTGAACATCATGTTCCAAATTCACAAAGTATAGAAATATGAATCCTTTAGGCAAGGGAGAGGCAGGCAGATGAAAAAGTATACTAAGCACTAGTCATGTTATTAAGCGGCAGAGAAAGGCTATAAAAGTGGCTAAAGTGGACAAAAGCTAAGTCGAAATGGTTAGCAGACAGACAGGATTTGGAAAAGTTTCTACACTTTTCAACAGATTTAGTCACTGGAGGACAGGCCTCTTACCAATGTTAACTCTTCATTCTGCCTTACTGCTTCAGAATATGAGTCATCAAGTTTTCTTTGCAATTCAGTCAACAGATCTTTAAGCTGAAATGAAGTTTTCAGAGGCTTTATGATGCATTATCATATGTTTCCAACTGACCCTTTATTCAGCCATTAATATAATTTATTTCAAAGTAATAAATGAATTTAAAAACATAAAAATATCCCAGATTGTTGGATGAGCAGGTTTTTCATCTTTGGGCCAACTAAATATTCAAACTTCCTGTTAAATGTGTACATGTGACATAAAGCAAATCTGGCTTTAATAGTTCAATTAGGTACATTACCTCTCGGACTTCTGAAACATATGTTGATCGCTCTATTTCGGCTTTTTCCAATTCATGTTCCAAATGTTCTTGTTCCTTTTTAAGCTACAAAAGGAACAGGCAATCACAAATCACACATTTTATTTCAAGTCTGATCTAGTCTTTTCTACCCCCCCCCCCTCACACACACACACATACAAAATGATATCCAACTTTATCCAATTTTATACTTTCATTAAACTAATTTTTATCTTTAAATTACTATCTGCACTTTATTGAATATAAAATTGGAAGAATTTATTCACAATAATTCTAACCATGTAGCTATTTTTTTCATTAAATAGCCACGTTTAAAAACTGATAGCAAAGCAATTGCTATTTAATCGTTGGGTTGTAGACTGGTTAACTAGGGTTTGATATCCTGGCTTACTGGGAAAACCTGAATGAATTGCCTAATGCATACAGTGGGTAAAACTTATTTCCAAAAAAAGGGGTAGGACAGAGAAAGAACAGTATATCCAGTCACATATTGTATTCCTAGATGAATAAAGTATCATATATTTAGTTTTCTGACAATCTTGATAGGTGAACTCATTGAGGGCATTGTTCACTGCTGGCAACAGAAGGTCAGCCGGGTCCTTCGTGAAATAACTCCTGAGTAGCCCCTGTCAACCCAAAGTGTCCCTTCTCATTTGTGGAGGACCTCCGAAAGATAAAGCAATAGATGTAATGCCCAGAGCACAGGCAGAGGAGGAAAGAGTGCATCTGACTAAGTGTGGGTATGTGTGCAGGTTCAGACATATTTTGTGGCAATAAGAGAGGTTAAATGTTCTGGATGGAAACTAAACAAGGCGAGAACCAACTTAGAAATAAGGAAAAATTTCCTTGCAGTTAGAACAATTAACCAATTAACCTCAGTGGAGGTTTTTTTAGAAGAGAATGGACAACCATTTGTCTGAAAAGGTATAGGATCTCCTGTTTAAACAGACCTCCAAAGTCCCTTCCAATTCTGTTATTCTTCCTATAACACTCTAGAGGTGAACTCTTAGGGCAAAAATCAGCTTTATTTTCTTTTAAGTTAGGAGCAATTACAGAGAAATCTGAATGAATTAATGGAAGGGTAAACAGTTGTGTTGATCCATAAATAAAATAATCAATTGTCTGATAACCTTATATATCAGTTTGGGTTTACTTGTGTCTGCCTAATGACTCTTTCAGATAGCTTTCATTTGTATTTTTCATTTTATCACCTATATTAAGAATTATTATACTGAGAGGAAAGCTGCATTTTTTCTAGACTAAAAAAACAATTAAACACTGTAAGGGTATTTTCAGTTAACAACTGAATATAGGCTCTAACTAGCTCCCAACTATTTTCAGGATGAATACTTGATTTTTTAAAAATACCTGTTGTAGTTCCTTCTGTGATTCTTCAATTTTTATTTTCCATTTGCTCTCTTCTTCTTCTACACTGCGCTGTAGCCTTTGCAAGATTCCCTCCTAGTAATACAAAATTTCAGTTATGTTGATGCCTACAAGAAATTGAGGCAGAAGAAATATTACCAAATATAACCAGATGTAATAAAGTTCCTTCCTACCGTCTCTGCAAGGACAACTTTGTACTTCTCACATTCTTGCTGCAACATGACATGTAGTTCATCTGCCTCTTTCAATTTCTGTTCCATGACCTATAGTGATAAAAAGATTCCATGTATATAATGTACAGAATGCAAGGTAGAGAACTCTCTTTATTCCAGTGAAATGCTGTATGACTAATTTTGAAAGTTCCATTAACTATGGATTCTGCACAACTAAGCAATCTGGACAGTTAGCAGAGTTGGTAACGATAGAACAGGGATAATAATAGAATATTAATTTAATATATGTTTATGGAGTGACCACAAATTAAAAGGAATGTTGTTTATTTCTTCAAGCAACCCACATCTATTTAGCAATTACATGTTCATCATTTGTACGCAATTCTATTTCAAACACAACCTTATAATGTTCAAGAACAAATTATTTTACCTACTTTAAATCTTTCTAATAATGGTAAATAAGAAAACCAGTGGCAACTATGGCCCTCTGCCATCAGCTCTTCTTTTTTATTTTATGTTGTATCCCTAACCCTTTGACAAAATTCTAGCATATAACAATAAATTAGCTGTTTGTATTTGTTATTATTTCTCATCTACAAAATGCTTCTTATGCTGAGAATCATATATCCCCCTATATACACATTTTTGAAAACAAAATGTTGCTTTTTTTTCTTTCTTTCACATTTTGTAACAGAATTTGGATAAGTGGCACAGATAATAGAATATGAATTCAACATAAGTTTATGAATTGACAACAAACTAAGAAGGATAATTATGTATTTCCTCAACCAACTCAAAACTATATTGAAATTATAATGCCAATGAAAAACGTGAACACAAAAGAAACAAAGTTGGCAGAGAAAACAAACCCAGATGGGAACAAAGACCAAGAAGAAAAAGGGTTGTTAATCATTTTTGCCAAAGATCTGAGGAAAGAGTCATATTTGTGGTAACCTATGCTTCTTATCATATTTTTGAACTCCTTAGATTGGAGCAACAAAATGTGGTGGCTAAATTGCTAAATTTCAGTAGCAAAGGTGCATGCTTCTGTTGTTTTATAAAAATGGTTGGTCTGCTTTTCGTGTTTTATTCAGTCAAATCTGAAAGCTCAGAATTCTGCAGAGGACAATCAATTCTGTAATTAGGCTCTGCAGAAATGTAATCATTCAAAACATTAAAGAACTTTGGGGAAACACATGTGGGACAAATTCTAAGATTAATCTTGGCGTTACCTATTGTGAATTAAATCTCAAAATATTACCAGTTAATTCTCAAGCACAGATCATCAATTTTCTCTCCAGAATAAAAAGAAACATTAAAAAACCTACTTAGCTAAAACTAAATTCACATCCAGTCTGCACTAACCTTAATGTCATCTGGTCGAGTAGTCTCTTTTGTATGTTCTCTTACTGCTTTTTCAAATCCACGCATCCACTCACTGTGACTCTGAGTTTGAAAAAAGTACATTAAAAGAATTTGGAAATAAATCAGTAGCACTGCTAATTAACTATCACAGACAGTTAACTGGAATCTTGAATGTTATGTACAGAATAGCAACTTAAAACTTAGCAGTCTTTGAAGACACAATTTTGCCAGGTAGTAAAAGTGAAACAGTCAAAGCTAATTATAATTAACAAGAGAACTAAGGTCATATTAGCAAATCCATTTTTTCATTCTTCAATATTGTCTTAGAAATCAGTCTTGCTTTAAATATAGTTGCCCATTTGATAAATTTAAACAAATGATGATCTTACCAAACTGGAAGGCAGAGAGACTATAGGAAATAGCTTCTGCAATATGTTTCTCATCTCTGCTTCAACAGCCTCTGCATGTTGTTGACTCTCCTGGATTGATAAAAGTGAAAGAAAAAAAAGATAAAGTAAGTGTAAAACTTCTACCATGATGTCACATCAATCTCCATTTCTTCGCCTAAATAGTTCTCATTTTAATACTACTGATTCTAAGGAACAACCATGATTTCATCTGCTGCCCTTGCATTTGGAACATGGAATGATTCACTTTAAAACTAAAAGTTTTATATATGCATATATATATTTAATATAAAGGTTATATAAGGTTTAAAGCAGATGAAAATTATAATAATCATGAATTTACATTTGGAGAGTCTAATGTAGAGATTTTTTAAAAAGATGGAAGAGGGGAATCTTAAATGGGTGCCAGGAAGAAATTTATTACCCAAACTAATTTGAAAAAAAAATCTTTATCACAGTCTGATAACAATTAAGTTATTCTATGCTGGGCCCCCAAAAGAATTTTATTACAATATTATTCCATCTTACATATTTCTGGATACAAGAACTTTTCTATTTTTTCCACTTATTTGCATGCTTGCTGATCCTTTAAATCAAGAGTAATATTTATGCATGACTGAATTAAGGCAAAAAAAGCCTTATGAGTTGTATTTTGAGAGGCTCAAGCAATTCTGGAACTAACTGCAAATATTCCATATTATTTCCACAGCAGTTATGCCATTATTAGGAAATTCCTGTTATAAAAATTGTAGGAACCTGGTTCCCAGGTGACATTCATTTTTTTGCTTCTCCCTCCCTTATCCACTTTAGTCCCTCTATGAAAATCCCACGCAGTATTGCATTGGAAATACAGCTGTTATTAGAAAACTCAATTATCACTTCAAAAGTGACTAGAGCCTTCCAAATTCATTTGCTTATTATGTTAAAGCACTTGAACAGTTACGAGTGGCTCACACACTTGCTCTCTCATTATTTGAACCTCGACTGAGACTCTAAATCAGTGGTAGTCAACCTGGTCCCTACCACCCCCTAGTGGGCGTTCCAGCTTTCATGGTGGGCGGTAGAGGTTTGCTATAACTGCTTTATAAATTTTATAAAGTAAAGTTACTTCCCTACTTCATAAATCACCATTAATATGGAACCGGTGGGCAGTTAGAAAATTTTCCTACTAACAGAGATACAAAAGTGGGCAGTAGGTATAAAAAGGTTGACTACCCCTGCTCTAAATAGTTTGTCTTGTAACAGCAAAGCGGGCTGCCAGTAGTTCGTTTGCTTCCTCTTGTAAACAAAGGCAGCTAAACTCACTTAAAATTAAGAAGGAAGCATTCTAACCTCAGGTTTCTAATTTATGGTCGCTTAACCAATCAAAGACTAAAACTCTATTGTCAGCAGAGTGTTATGTGTGTTTACACCCAGGGTGCAAAAATGAATGTGATGGAAGATAATATTTGTAGTCAGGGTGAACTGTGGGAGTCTTTGGTGCTTCTGAGCTTGGTTGTTTTCTTGCAGATGTTTCATTACCAAACTAGGTAAATGATCAGTTCTAAAGCTGATCATCATCATCATCCTAGCCCTGATGATGTCACATAGTTTGGTAATGAAATGTCTAAAAGAAAACAGCCAAGCTCAGAGAGCACCAAGGATTCTACAGAATGTGATTGTGGAGTGGTGATCAGACAATATTTCTCAATACAACTCCTCTTCTATTTTTTCCCACTTGTATGCATGCTTGTTGATCCTTTAAATAAATGCAAAGCAAAATTATCTTTTAGGTGTCAAGGCAAAATATGTTATTGTCTTTCACCACATGCTTCAAGAGGCATCTCCTACTTTTAGTTTCCTAGAATACTATATGAAGTTGACAGAGCTGGGTGGCATTTTTTTCTCTCTCTTGGATGAACAATCTGGCCAAAAGAAGAAATTTCAAGGATTTCAAAAATCAAAAAGCAGGCAGCAACCAACATTTGTTCCTTCCACTTGTTGCTCTGTAACAGAGCAGAATAGAAGGGCAGGTGGGGAAGCCATGGCTGGACTTAAAGCACAGTCCATGGATCAAAGCAATGTTCTTCAGATAGCTTCAATACTGTTTGTTTCCTCTAGATGGACTGCAAATATTCATATTCCAGAAAAAAAGAACTTCTCTGGTCCATAGATCTGCCAGAAGTTCAAGATCTCTGGTAGTAATTGAAGTTTTATTTCGCCACCATTCACCAAAGTTAAAGAACCTACCAGCTCTATTCTGTAACTCAACTCCATAAGCAAACTCCATAAGCATTGCAACAAAGGCCTGTCAAAACTTTTCTTTAATTTTTTTTTAGGAGAGTTTCTTCCTAGCAGTTTATTTTTCAGCTAGGTGAGTGCTGCTTCAAAACAACTTGATCTTGTGGCTTATATCACTGGATTAAAAATGACAAATCTTGCACAATTATATACTAACAAATTTATTATTCTATAAGCTTTTGTGGATCAGCCAGTCCACTTCATCATACTGTACAGTTTGTACCCCAAGATTATCATTTTTGATGCAAAAGAATCAGCATGATTACTCTTCTGGAGACTGTGATTATATTAAGGGTTTTTTTTCAAGGATATAAATAATGTATTTAAAAATAAGAATATATAGAAAAGAACTGCTAGTTTGGCTGAAAGCGTAACAGGAGACTTGCTAACAGAAATGTCCAAAACAGAAATATTTTAAACTGCATCCTTGTAACAGCCTTCCTCAACCTAGCACACACCAGATGGTCCAATATAATCCATATTACCCTCACCAAACAAATACTGTGGAACATTTGGTGGTGGATTATGGGGATTGTAGTTCAGCACAATTAACTACAATTGGTGGGACCAGAGTTATTTTGACTTATCCTAGTTTTAAAGCACATTTTAAAATCTCTAACCTCTAATAAATCTTGCTTGGTAAAAAAAGATTATATTTTTTCCAATTATTACAAATCTTAAATCTCTGTAAAATTCTACAAAAAAATAAGGATGTGGCAAACCTGAATCTGGTCCTATTCAAATGGACTAGGAGTCCCTGTGATAAATTTAACATGGACATAACTGGGTCCTAGTTAAGCATTTTGAAATATCAGTGGGAGCCTGTGTATGTGATGCTCCAGGCAAAATATGTGGGTATTAAATTTTATCCAGACAACTGGGACACTGGGCTGAGTATTAAGTTTCAAAGGTGTTATAAAATAGAAGTAAAAATTGTCTTTAAAAAAAACTTACGGGCACTTCTTTTATGACAGAGTTCCTTTCAGCACAAAACAAGAGAAATTTTCAATGACCAAGAGGGTGGCAGATCATCACTCTGCAGACTAAACATCACAGCCCTACAGCTCTAGCATCTTTCCCAAGCAAAACCAAAATAAGCAGCATGCTCACAAATTAAAGGTTTAAAGAAAGAAAGAAAAAGAAGAAGGGTATAAAGATGACAGGCAGAAGCAAAGGTGAAAGTACATGGAGAAAGGAAGGGAGGAAGGAAGAAAGGAAGGATTAAAAAGAGTGTATTTAAAAACTGCAGTAAAAGCTAAATGCTTCCATTTGATTTTAGAAGGCGGCTGCAGAATCACTTCTAGCTAATGCATTGTTTCTAGCAATTAGCATTACAACCTTGGCAGTCTTGTTCACTCTGTCCTGCAGCAATTTTTCAGTTGAGGCCAATGCTTCCATTGCTTTCCAGTTTTTCTTTCGAAGGTCCTAATCATTTTTAGAAAGAATGGTTTCAGTTCAGCCAAAATAAAACGATTTCTGCTTTCACCTCAAAGAGCGAGCATTTGCATTTGAGCACGGGTCACTGGAAAATGGGTCGGTGCTCAGTTTAGATGAGGCATACTAGCAAAAGACAAGTGTGATGTTAAAAAGACAGAGCGTTGATATGGCAAAAAATTCAAAAGAAAAAAGAAAAAAGCATCTATTTCTGATTTTAGGGCCATAATGGCATCATGAACAGGAACCTCCCCCTTCATACTTTGACTGCATTTGCAAAGAAGAAAATGGAGAAATATTCAAGTTATCAGCCTACATACATGCATACTGAGAAACATACATACGCTAGATCATGTACCCACTAAGTTGGCTGCATATTCTAGAAAGTAACCCAAACAGAACACCACTGAAAATTTAGTGTCATTTGAAGGAATGCGGGGAGGGTTTTTCAAAGAGATGCTTTCAACCTCCAAAGCATCTATTTTGACTTTAAACACTGCTGGGAGGTAGTATATTTTAGGAACAAAGCAAATTATGGTGAATATCTGTAGCTTGGGTGTTCTCCAAGCTTGTGGGTTGGTTTCTGAACATTTCGCTACCAGGTTAGGTAACATCTTCTGCCGAGTTTAGGGGATGTCAGTGTCAGTGTTCTTCTGTTTATAAGGGCTTCAGGTCTGTGTCAAGTAAAGATCTTGTGATGGATCAGGTGTGAGTCATCAGTGAGTCTTGTGATGGGTCTTGTGATAAGGAGGTTACATCAGTTCAGGATCATTGGGAGGTGAACTTCTGGGGGGGGGGTAGGGTTGTGACCCATCACAAGACCCCCACTTGACACACCCACACCTGAAGCCCTTATAAACAGAAAAACATTGACCTGATATCCCCTAAATTCCACTGAAGATGTTACCTATCTGGTAATGAAACATTCAGAAATCAACCCAAAAGTTCGGAGAGCAAATCTTCACCCTCAAAGCAAATTATTTGTTGGAAATTTCAGGCACGCTTCTTGGTACAGAAGGATCTAAAAGGATAATACAAGAGATAAATGCTGTGGCAGTGTAGTTATTGCTGGATTCCAGTTACCCACACCTCAAACCTGAATTTTGGATAAGCAGGCTGGGGCTGATGGGAGTTGTAATCCAACAGTGTAAAAAGAAGCCTCCAGTCTTCTCTCTTGAGATATTAGGAAACACTTTAAAGGAGATCCAGCAAGAGTAAAAAGTGCTGAGCTAGATGATCCAATGATGTGAATATTAAATTACGATTCACTTTCTCCTAATTTCTGGTGACTACAAGAGGAAGGGCAAAACTGTTTTAGTTTATGTTCACTGGGTGGATCAGAAGACAAACTTAGAATTAAACTTTTTTGGCATTTTAATTTGTACTCCATAATGTGTCTAAGGTGATCAATCACATTTTGATAAAATAATCAAAACTGTGTTAAAATACAAAGCAGCAGTACATTAATCAAAGGAGAAATTCAAATCAGAATTCTATTTTCCTAGATGATCGTCATATTATAAGGGAATGGTTTTCCTCAATGGAATTCCAAAGTTGACAGTTGTGTATTGATTTGAAGGGGAGGCATCCTTACTCTCCTACATCACAAACCTCTACAGTAACCTTTTTAGTTTGTTTTCATTCAATTTTTTTATAGAATGAAAAGCTAAAATAGCTTTCTAAGAGTGAACAGGAAATTTGCAAATTCAATTATCCCTTCTCAATAAACTACACAGTCTATATATCCATTGTCTCTTCCTCTTGTGGTGACTGCTGGAAGGAGATGAAATGTATTTTAGGAGGAGAAATATTTAGGAAGTTCCAAAAGAAAAGTTTCAGAGCACCTTATGCAGTACCCATAGAACAAGAGATTTGACAGCCCTGTGTGTTTCCAGTTTTGTTGAGCAACACAAAGACTTAAGAGAAAAGATGAATCATCCAGCTGGAAGTGACCATGGAGGTCTTCTAGTCCAACCACCTGTCCAAAGCAGGACCATCCTGGATAAAATGAATGTCCAATCTTTTTTTGAAAATTTACAGTAATGGAACATCCACAGTTCCAGAAGGCAAACTGTTCCATTGACTAATTGCTCTTACTGTCAGGAAATTTCTCAGTAGGATCTCTCTTTAATGAGCTACTGTTGCTTCTTGTCCTGCTCTCAGATGCTCAAACCAAGTCAAAAGATCTCTGAGCAGGTGAAATGAGCAAGTGTTAAGTTTGCTTCTTTGGTCAAGGAGTTTTTTCTTAATTGGGTAATGCTTTTCAGAAGCATTTTCCTATCAACTTTCAAGAAATTCACTTAGCTCAGGGGTGTCAAACTCGCGGCCCGGCTGGTTTTGCGAAGAGGAAAAAAAGTCCTGATAGGTCACATGACAATGCAAGTTTGACACCTTTTAGCCAATTAGAAAATACCTCATTTTCTTCTTCTGAAATTTGTTTACTAAGCAGTGGGACGCTCTCCGATACCTCCAAAAACTTTTTCTCATATAAAAGGGAGAGTAAAATGTCCCTCTTACTATCCCCTGAAAAGCCACTCTGCTTTTACTGCTGGAGGAAAGGGGCTAAAGAGGAGGCCTGAGATATACATATTCATTTACAACATTCGTGTTTCACTTTGCATCAAAATAAGAGTGTTTTATAGTAAAATTCAAACATAAAAAAATGGTCAGGTTAAAACAACTGATAAAAGTGTACATTAAAACATGATATAAATGGTGAAAGAAATCCTCTAGACATGCTGGACTACAGCTCCTATGAGTTCCACAGGCCATGCTGAGGAAGATGGGGCTGTAATCAAGGAATCTTCTAGAACGAGAATATTCGGGATGCAAGCAGTTCTTCCTTCAACATCCTCTCTCCAAAAATTATTCTAAAAGGAGTTACTTACATTGTTCTTTTGCCTCTGTTGCTCCACTGCAAGTTTCAAGGAGCCCAACTCGTTTTGAAGGCTGGTATTTTCTTGTTCTTTCCCAGAAATGCTAAATCCATACAAGAAAAGGCAAAGTCACAGCCATGTAGAAGGGAATAAGACAGGGACCTGTTTTTGTTTCTTCAACAGAAAAGACAATTGACCTCCCCCCACCCCCCGTTATCTATATAGATCATGAGAACTAGAAAATATATCTTTTAAAAGTAGGTAGAGGAAGAATCCCATTTCTGATGGATTCAGTTGGAAGCAAGAAGGCAGCAATTGTAAATTATTTTATAAATTAATTATTCTTAATTTTTTCCTCTGCCTGTTATTTGCTAAAATATGTCTCTGCCCTCCAACAATTCTGCCAAATATGGAGTTTTAAAAGCTTTCCTTAAAAAGGAAGTGCTGCAAACAGATGCAAAATTTGGTTTCCAGTATAAATCATTTTCTTCTCCCTAGTGGCTGACTCTCCTTTCCAAGCTGTATCTAGTGAGGAGGCCATAAAGTTGCTATTCCATGCATTACCATTAAATGTAGAAGGCAACATATCATATAACCCAGAAGTACATCTTATTCTTATAGTACACCTGATGTTTTTCAAATTTAAATTGTTTAATGAGAATGCAGGAAATTTCTGAAATATGTTCTTTCCCTATCCACTTTTCTTCTTAACTGCCTTTTTCTAAAGTCATTTTGTGTCTAGAAGCCCAAACTAAAATTAAAGTCACACCACAATTAATGGCAACAGTGCATTGAGTGATAAAGTTTCTCTTGATTTTAGCTTTCAGACGTTGGATTTGTCTCCTTTAAGTAGAGATGTTCTGCATTCAGAATTGGTTTTACATGCCATCATGTTGATGCACAAATTGGATCAAGATCAAGGGAGACTCAAATTTAAGTCCCTGTGTGCCTATTCTATGGGTAGTTTTCAACAAATTACTCAACTGTTTTACCTCATATTAGTGTGAGGATAAAACTAGTAAGAAGAGAACTCAACAACATTCTCCTGATAATTTTGTAGGAAGCATATCATAGTAATATAATACATCCCCCACAATTATCATTAAATATATTTATCATATTTGTACAATGTAATTGCCAATAACTAAATAGTATTTTAGCAAAAACAGCAACAGTTTATGATATACCGCAACATCACTATGAGTGCAGAATACATTCTTCTAAAGGATATAAAGTGTGCCATTATTCACAAGTAAATAAAATGCAAACTTTCTGCACCACTAAGAAACCAATCTCTTAACTGTTTACAATAAACATAAAACCACAGGTAAAACTAGGATTATTACAAGTGAATGTCAAATAGTCAAGAATTTTTAAAGGGGCATTTTTAAATGCCAAGGTTATTTTTCCTCACACAAATTGTCCGAACAGCAGAGATGGGACAATATTTTTGTATTGTACATCTAGACAGTCAAACATAATCTTGATGTGGTTTTTTTAAAAACACTTTTAAAAATGTTTCATTTCAATGCAACAGACCATGTCCAAGGAAACACAAATACAGTTATCATTGAAGATAAGTAATTTCTGTACAACTTGTATATTGTTTTTCAAGCAATGGTGTTCAAGCCCCTGAGCCATATATCAGCTTCATACCTCTTGGTACAAACTGTTCTGAGGCTTTCAGCTACCCAATGTAGCTGAATTACTGAGGAAAGAGTAACTAATGAAGGGAAACAGAAAATGAAACAGAATCCAGGAGAAGAATATTGTGGTTGATACCCATGTAAAAGATATGCTGAAATAAGTTAACAATAACTTACAGCTGTGAAAGTTGCTCAATCCTGATAACCAAGGATTCCTGAAACAGAGGAGCACTTAAATCACTTAACTGAAATGCAGTGCAAACTTCCCCAGCTTAACAGTATTTGACATGCAGCCATTTGCTACCTCAAGATTTTTCTCTATGCTCTTCCCAGGAGACTGGAAGCCAAGCCATAAATTGCCCAAAAATAATTAGAGCAACACTTATTGCAATATATGGATTATCTTTAGACATTCATCTGCTTTTCATACTAATGACACCACAGAAGACAGAGATGTTATTTCCATTTTCCTGCAGTTAATTTACTTCTGACAAGTTTAATTTTGAACTTTATGGTGTTCTAGGACACCACTGGGCCAGTAGCATTATTATGTGTCAGAATGAGGGATCTTTTTTGTTGTTTAATTCTTTGGGGGGAATTTGGGAAAATCAAAGAGCAAAAATGAATTCTTAAGTATCTTAAACCTCTGTGAGGCTCAAGACACATATTTTGCCCCTTTAAATGTGTCTAACAATAGGTAAAACCTCCTTCCTGCTGTTGTTGTTATTGTGTGGAGTTGTTACATTAGCCAGGAGACCACAATGCTATTGCACAGTAATAGTTTGGCTGCCAATTTACCCACTCTGTTGTAGGACACACTCGCATGCTTCCCAAGTTATGCTACAGGAGACAAGGGGCTCTTCCTGAAGCGTCATCCTAAGACCCCTTTCTTCCCTTTGAACTGTTTCATAAATGGGAGCCTTAACCAGGAAAGTTCACAACTGCCTGCATGGAGTACCAACTTGACTCTCCATCTAAATGGCATCTATTTATTTACTCACATAGAAAATGCTTTCGAACTGTTAGGTGGACAGAAGCTAAGGCGAGTGATGGGAACTCACCTCGCCACACAACGCTAGGACTTGAACCACTGGAACAGAGACCATCTCCAGCATCATTAAGCCACTGAGCCACCATGTCTCTAAAACCAACCTGATTTAAGGGGTGCTTATGAAGGAGTGAAATAGGTGTATAAGGTTTCTGTCATCTTGTATGCTCCTGATCAGATTAAAATTTACACACAAAGACCTATTTCACACATATAGTGCTGCAATGGAATTAATAAAGGATGAAATTAAGAAAGGATGGAGACCTGACAAAGGAGTGCTGTTGCAATTAAAATATTATTCTTGAAGTGCATGCTCTGACACGGGTAAAATGATAGTCTAGAAAGTAAGATCCATTATTCCAATAAATGGGCAGAAAATCCCTTCTCCTTACCTGGCCAAACAGGAGAACTGGCAGATAGTAATTTCAATAGCTAACTGATTTTATTCAAAGTGACTCCTAAGGCAGAGAGAACACAATACATGTGCTGTCTTATTTTTTAACTCTATAAATTTAGTAATCTGGAGAAATACCTGTTTGCCGTTTTCCTGCTTGATTTCTTGAATCTGTGCTCTTAATAACCTATTCTCTTCCTGTACAGCCTGTGAAAGAAGATAATGTCTTAAATCTCTGTGCCCACTTCTTAACACCCCTCCCGCTCCTCTTAAAACTGTCACAGGCACCTGCAACTCTTTTCTTTGGTGAGCAACCTCTTTTCCCCTCTCATCTAATAATGTTGCCATTTCTTGCACCTCTTCTTGTTTCTCTCTCAATCTGTGAACAAGGTTTAAAAAAATTACTCATAAAAACCCAAAATGAACCCTTCATCAAATGACTCAAAACAGAATCTTTTAGCCAGCAAGCAAATTCAGGGCTGAATGATATGAAAACATTTTTTACGACAGGATTGTTTTTCAAGTTTCCCAACTAATTGTGGTTGTCATGCTTCTTTGACTGCTCTGGAAACCAACTGTGTCAGAAACTCTCATTGTTCATTTGAAGATTTACTACCTTGATACAAGAGCAAGTCTTCAAGAAAGAGGGCATCACCCAATACAAAAAGCTGTTCCAACCAATACCAAGTACAATGAAATGTCTCTCTTATTCATTCATACCCCAACTGCATCAAGAATTTATCCCAAGTCAAAATGTGAAAGAATAGATAATGGTGGAAGACGTTCCACTTTGTTCACTTACATTGCCTCATGATCTTTAATAGAAGCAGCAACAGAAACCTAGTAGGAAAGAGACAGGGGAAAATTAATGTGACAAAATATCTACGATCATCTCCTGAGTTTTAAAGTTTCATCAACTATACCTGAAGGCATTCTACATTCTTCGAAATCTCACTCTCCTTTTCTTTCAACAATACTTCTAGACTCTTCACCCGTTCCTCTTTCTCCTTCAATCTGTAAGAGAGAACAAGACAAAAGTTACATTTGTGAGATGGGTGGCTATTTAAATAAATAAACAGCAGACAATAAATAAAAGCAACAGCAATTATTGTATGTCTTCATAGACAAAAAAGCCAGATGCTGAATTCAGGGCGTGATCACAAGGCCAGCAATGTGGGTCAGCATCTCACCAGAATACAAAGAACAGTAGGGTAAAAGCAAAGAAAAAGCAGTAAAACTAACAGTGTAAGTAAGTAATTTGAAGAGTCCTCATAATGTCCAGTTAGGTGCTGAAAAACTAAGAAGAATTAACCTGGATTTGTATTTAGATGATAGATTCCCAGAAATAAAAAAGCTACAGGATAGCCTGGAAATTTTTTTTAAAAAAGGCAATGGCAATACATTCAAATTATTGCCATGAAAAGCACAAGAATAAACTCATGCTTGAAGAAAATCTTTTTTTTCATCATTATTTTTAAAAAGAAAATACCTAAACTCTTCTTGAATTGGATTTCACTGATATTTCACTGATTTCATGCATTCTTTACCACTCTTATTAGCCCAGTAGGTCTACCAGACTTTGAACTCTGATTGAGCAAATGACAGGGATGCTGCCTATCAGAAATCTGCTCTCTCCCCCCAGGATTTCCCAGAAATGACCAAGTGTGAGGGCTTGTGCACAGATTGGCTATAAGGACATGCTGAGATTCCTGTTGTACTGACTGTCTAGTATGACTTTTATCAGCTCTGGCTGTATTTGGTGATGGTTTGGGAGTTCCAAGGATTACAGGTCTTGCATTCCTATAATTATATTTCTATAATGTGCTGGAAGAGAAACCTTGAGCAGTTCATGAGTTCCTCAAGTAGCCTTAAGCTACTTACACATAATTATTGCTTTGAACACACAAATATGTATTTGACAAGGTTTTCATATCAGAGCAAACGAGATCTTTGAATGAAGGGCATTAACTACTATCCTTTGCTGTACAAATCACTTCCTGAATAGGCTACAGATTGTGGCATTCCTGAATTCTGCAAGGGCAGAGTACCTATTAAGACGATCCACTCCTAGCATCTAACGTATTCATAAAATGTTCAAACTGCACTAGGAGTTCCCATGACAATTTGCCCAGAGCTGTCTTGTGCATCTATTCTTATTTAGAGTGACTGGATCCTTTAACGATAGAATTTTGGGACAAAACTCCTGCATACTAGCTGGTATGTTTGTAGGTTTCTTCATGGGAAATGTCACTCATACCTACTCTAGTCTGGAAACCAATAGGGTAGAGTCTACTGTGAGGAATCCAGCATTTTGTGTTAAAATCTGGGATTCTTTGAATTCACACAACTGATGAACTATAAAAGATGGTTTTCTAGTATGAACTATGCCATCATCCATGCCCCACTTGGCTTTTTGGGCAATCAGAGAAGGTATGGGTGGCTGTATATGGCAGATGAGTAATGTTTTCTTGAAAGAGAATGTCAATGTCTTTAAAAGAGGTGGTGCTGCAGCCTCTCTTGGTATCTCTCCAGCCAATCACACATGACATACTTTTTCTTCTTGTAGTACCTAATTTCCACAAGGGGTAGACTAATTATCCTGACCAACAACCAATTGCAGTTGTTTTACTTGCTGTTAAAATAACTTCAATTTTAGCTACCTAACCTCTAATCAGGGACTTACGATAAGCCTTACCATAGTTTTCCAATTCTAGATTACACAACTGTTTATAATACGATAAACATGATGAAAATTAGAACTATATTCTATTAACATTCTATTAAAAAGGACTGCTAGAAAACACCTAAATTCTTGTTATCAGAAAAACTTACTGTTTTTGAAGATCTTCAACTTCCTGAACAAATGTCACCTAATAGAAAAAAAATACACATATAGGTAGTCAAAAGAAATGTGCAGAATGATGATAAACTATAAGTCCAAGGGGGGGAAGATAAGAAAGCAAGCCATAAAGGTAAAGGTTCCCCTCACACATATGTGCTAGTCGTTCCCAACTCTAGGGGGAGGTGCTCATTTCCATTTCAAAGCTGAAGAGGCAGCGCTATTCCGAAGATTTCTCAGTGGGCATGTGGCTGGCATGACTCATTGGTGAAGACACACAGAACGCTGTTACCTTCCCACCAAAGGTGGTTTCTATTTTTCTACTTGCATTTTTATGTGCTTTCAAACTGCTAGGTTGGCAGAAGCTGGGACAAGTAACAGGAGCTCACTCCGTAACGCAGCGCTAGGGATTCGAACCGCCAACCTTTCTGATCGATAAGCTCAGCATCTTAGCCACTGAGTCACCGCGTCCCTTTTATAGCAAGCCATAATACAGTGCTAATATAAAACATATACAGTTGTCTTTTGGAATACTTTGACACTTCTGTAAAATGTTACTCTTAGGAATTTAATTAAATGCAGTCAGACTACTTTAGAAAAAGAGCATTTTTTAGGACTAAAAATGTTGTGTTCTGGAAGACAAAAGAAATAATGGGCAATAATGAAAATCTTGAAATAATAGGTCCCTTGACTTCCAGTAATCAAACTAAGCTTTTTCTGAAACCAGCCAAGCTGGTAGCCAGCACCACACCTCATGGCACTGAATTCCAAAATTGAACTACATTATATAAAAAAGAATCTTTTTATCCTGATTCTTTCAGGATTCAGTTTTATTGAGTGATCCCCATTTCCTGTATTTGGGGAAGGCGGAAATAGTTTTTCCTTGCTGACTTTATCGATACATGCATAATCCTGTACACCTCAATTCTGTCTCCTCTCAGTTGCCTTTTTGTTCGACTAGAAAGCCAGCGATATCACAATGTTTCGTCATTGGGAAGCTATTCTAGCCCTTGATTATCTTAACTGCCTTCTTCTAAACTTTCTCTAGTTCTATTATATTCTTTTTGTGATTGATTGATTGATTTGATTTATTACATTTATATGCCGCCCTTTTCCCCGAAGGGGACTCAGGGCGGCTCACAATTCAATCAGGGAAGGAGGTACAGAAAGGGGGATAAAAATCACTAAAATTGCACACGATATTCCAGATGTAGTTGCACCATTGATCTATAAAAGTGTATTATAATATTACATCCCTAAATACCATTTAGAGTAACTGTTTCCTTAAAATTCTTCTTGGATGACAACTCTAGCATTTCTGTGAATCTTCAGAAGTATCATTTTAAATAAAAAAAATACTTTATTATATTTCTCTGTTTTTCTAGGAGCTCAAGGTACCTTTCATGGAATCTCCATTTTATGCCACAATAAAGATAGTGAGGATGGCTAGGCTGAGAAAGATTGACTGACTTATAGTCAGTGATTTTTGAGACCTCCCAGTCCAGGTTCAATGTTATAGTCACTACTATAACTACTATATAGTCACCTTGACTGTGTTGGTCAACAATAACAACAACGATGACAATGATATTAGGAGCTTGAGTTGATGAATTAAATTTGCATATGGCAAAAAAATGATTGTTCTTTAGAACTATCATTTCTTTACATGATGTTTTCGTAACGATTACATGATGTAGATGTAAACAAGACATATTATCTTAGGAAATGCCTTCCTCCTATTGCATACATACTGATAAGCCTTTTCTAAGATAGATTTTTTTGAAATCTATCGAGCCGAGGTGGCGCAGTGGTTAAATGCAGCACTGCAGGCTACTTCAGCTGACTGCAGTTCAGCAGTTCGGCTGTTCAAATCCCACTAGGCTCAAGGTTGACTCAGCCTTCCATCCTTCCGAGGTGGGTAAAATGAGGACCCAGATTGTTGTTGGGGGCAATATGCTGACTCTGTAAACCGCTTAGAGAGGGCTGAAAGCCCTATGAAGCGGTATATAAGTCTAACTATTGCTATTGCTAATTGAAATATAGAAATTGCTTAACATTAGTGGAGGCCATGTTCTTTTTAAAATTGAGCAACGTACTCCTAATCAAATTGAATTATCAATTAAATACTGCAATCCTATATGATTCATTGTTTTTAAGCTTCTACTGAGAATTAGGAAAAAGCTCTTAGATGTGGAAGGAGGAATAATGCCGAATAAAATGCACCCAGCTGCTAGCTCATAATGGCTTTACCTGAGTATCCTTCTCAAGCTGGGCCTTTCTTAGTTCTTCTTTCACAGCCTCTATTTCCTGTTCCAAAGCCTTTTCAATGACAAAACACACAAAATCGTACAATGGAGACGACACCAAATGAAAATGTTACAAAAACAAATTTGACTAAAAGGCAATGCAGAGGTAAACACACTCACAAGTTAATGCCACAAATAATGGAGCATCAACATCCAAATGATCCAATACTTACCCCAAGAGTTTTCTCCTTGGTTGCAACTTTAAGGACTTCAGCTTGAAGCAGTTCCTCCACAGATTTGATCTTTCCATCTTTTTCACTAATTCTTTGGAAAGGCATAAAATTGTAAATGCAGATATAAAGAGTGTATTTTAGAAAATAAACTTTAAATATATAAGTTCTTGTACAAGGTGAGAAAGAGCTTAATCAGGAAGTAGATTGCCAAATGGTGGAAAGCAAGCAATATTTCTACACCAGTAATTGGATGTTAATAAATACAATAGCAAACCAAAACTTAGATATGGAAGAACTATTAATGCTTGATAGTAAAGAAATATCTGGTTTATTCCATTAAAAAAACATTTATTTTGATATATCTCAGTGTGCTTTTGTATACAGTAGCAGACAACGTATGGAAAATCAATTTCAAAATGTACATATAGGAACTATTCATAATTACTGAAAGAGTACTTAAAGCTCAGCCATAGCAATTTTAGAGCATTTTTAAATTGTTCCAATACTAAATTTCAGATTAGAACAGAACAGAATACTTTATTTGGACAAGTATGATTAGACACACAAGGAATTTGTCTCCTGTGCAGAAGCTCTCAGTCAATATGCAAAAGAATAGAATCATCATCATGCCAATAAAAAGTGAAGGGAGTAAAGTAGACAATAAGAAGGAAAAGTGATAATACTACAGACATACTACATGGGTAAGTGCACACAGACATTAGGCAGCACTGTGAGAATTAGGTGTTCAGCAAAGTGATGATAAGAGGGGGAAAACTGTCCCTGTCTCTAGTTGCTTTGGCATGCAATGCCCTGAAATGCCGTCCTGAGAGAAGGAGTTGGAACAGTTTATGTCCAGGATATGAGGAGTCTGTAGAGATCTTCTCAGCCCTCCAACTTGCACAATATATAGATCTTCTATGGAAGGCAGGCTGGTTGCAATTACTTTTTCTGCAATCTTAATTATCCATTGGAGTCTGTACCTGTCCTGTTTGATTGCAGTACCAAACCAGACAGTTATAGAAGTATAAACAACAGACTCAATAATTTCTCTGTAAAACTGTATCAACAGCCCCTGGGGCAATCTGAATCTCCTGAGTTGATGGAAGAATATTCTTTGTTGTGCCTTTTTAATGATGGTTCTAATATTAACTGTGCATTTCAAGTTCTGGGAGATTACAGAACCCAAAAACATGAAGGACTCCACTGCTGACAGTGGGCTGTCGAATATAGTACTATATCACAAGAGGTGGTATGGTAATATAGTACTGGTAGAAAAGAAGGGCTCCTCCTGAAATTCACTCTACAGTTTTTAAGCAGATAGGCGAAATGAAACTCCCCCTCGCCCCACCTTGCTTAGATCTTTTCTGCCTCTTCGCTTTGCCAACAGGAAAGGCTCAGGTTCACAACCAGCTGCGCCTCTTCATGTGGAATATTTCTCGGAATGACATCAATCAGGGTAACACTTCCCTCGGTCTCTCTCGCCTGCCCACTTCGGGGGCCCTTATAGGCTCCGACAGCTTAGGCAGACTGCCTTTCAAGCAGAATGTTGCATGGCGAAATGCCACTGCTGCTGCCAATGATCCTTTTGCCTCCTGTGCCTCAGCTGGTTGTTATGTTATTTCTGTCCTACCAGGGTGTGTGTCTGTGTGTGACTGGGCCGGTCTCAATGCCCAATGCAATGGCCCTTGTGCTCGGATCAAGCGGACCATTTACAGGGCTGAGAGAGACGCAGAGACAGTTGGCCGAAAATGGTTCTCCAGTTTTTGACATTGTGCCAGGAAAAGCCTTTTACGGAAACAGTACCTCGGTGACCCACATAAGTCCACAAATTCACAAGCACAGGGAGACGAGTTTCTCTGACCTCCCCTCCACCAATCACCCTTCAACCCGTATGGCTTGGCCCTGGCGCAGTTGCGACAGCTGAAGCGGTAGGTTGGTGAAAGAAATTCTCCCTCCTCCTGGGTCAGAGTGGAGCTGGAGGCCGGAAGGAGCCGAGGGGTGTGTGGGGCGGGCAAGGGGGGATGTTACATCACGCTGTGACATTAAAAAACACTGTGCGGCAGATGGAAACTGCTGCGCGGCGTTTTCTTGTCACGTGCGCAGCTGCGCAGCCGCACAGCTTAGAGGGAACTTTGACGGCCAGTTCCATCTATACGCAGACTCATCACTGTCTTGAATCATCTGTTGTATCATCTGGAAATTTCAGTACTTTAACAGAGGGTTGTAGTCATTGGTATACAGAGAGAAGAGCAACTGAAAGTGCATATAGCCCTGAAGGGAGTCTGCGCTAGTTGCCCAGGTACTAGATGTAATTTTCCTAGCTTCACCTATTTGTTAAAAAGCTTCTCACCCCCTCAAGTATGAACAGATACAGTGAGCTGAATCGGTTATTATTCCTTCAATCTACAATGGACAGTAGGATTAATGCAGGGTGTGGGCTTGGGGGAAGAGACAGGCCACTACCTCAACAAAAATCCTTTGCTCACAGAAACGTTCACACATCAAATATTTTGGTGATTGGGGATTTTTTAAAATATAAAAAGGTATACTTTTTTGGAGAGAAGTAAATGTTGGGATACCAAATGCAACATTCACCATTTCATTTTAGATATTTTGTGTTTCAGAATTTTTAAGTCAATATTTATTCACTTAATTTCAAATAGTAACAAAATTTAAACATTTAGAGCTTATTAAAATGGAAGTCATGCTGCTACTTACACCCTCTGCAGGTCGTCTACCACGGATGCAAATGATACCTTTGGGGAAAAAGATGAAAATATATCGGCATTTAATAGGAGAGACTCAAATCACTCTGATTGGATGCTTCAAATGATAATAATGATTACCTGGCACAAGTGATACTAGTTTTTATTAATTATTAAATTAATAAATGAATTGTTATATTGATCTACTAAGAGAAATTAGTAATAGAATTAACACTGTATTTGTAGCATTGTAACTATAATTACAAATTAGAAAAAAAATTAGTTCTATTATTTAATCAAATTAAACAATAGTATTTGGCAACTACTAGTAATTTAATCCTAAACACAGTTGGCAAACACAATTTAGCTCTCCAAATTCTTTGTGAAAAATATTCAGTATGTCTCATTTTCACTCTAGTGGCATCCCACTGGAATACAGTTTTCCCTCCTCTGTGATTTTTGGAACATGGGTCCCTGGAAGTAGTATATTAGGAATGATGGGCATATATCCTACCACCAAACAATTGTATTTAATATAAACTAGTGTCTGAGATGAACTTACATTCCAAGAGTAACCCTTAAGCACAGCTTAGCTTACAATACAAATTCTCTGCCTGGTAACATTAACTAGCAACCAGAGAATGTTGCCTTCCTGAAAATGTCAATATTTTAGAACTGCCGTAAAATCTGTACCATGTTATCTCCTATATAAAAGATATAGTGCAGACCAGTGGTGGGTTCCGGATCCCGTTCCAACCAGTACGGTTGGAATGGGCCTGGCGCCATTCACATGGACGTGTGCAGTGCTCACATGCGCGCAGTACACGCATGCGTCTTACTGCCTCCGTGAGCCTCCGCAATGCTCCAGCTGTTCAGCGGAGCATCGTGCAGGCGCTGTACGCGCCATGCGCGTAAGTGCCGAAGACTTAAAAGACTGGTAAGGAGCTCAGGCGGGCGGGTGGGCTCTCTGGAGCACCATACCAGAACGGTATCCGGTTCTCCGGGCAGACTCAGGGCATACCGCCTGCAACCCACCACTGGTGCAGACTCTAGCTGGATTTTGGTTGTAAAGCACTCACAGGATGTAGTAAAACAAGATGTGACAACAGACATCAAATCAGAGTAGCAACAATTACAACCCAAAAGTTTCAAGTAAAATTCTCTAGACATACAAAAAATATATTTATAAATCAAATATGTAGGCTACTTAACTAATAGTAGCTTTGGGTAGTGTACAAGATAAGGTAACAATCAAAACAATGTAAAACAAAGGAAACTGGTATTCCCAGAGGGGACTTATTTCCTAACCTAGCATCTGGGGGAAAAGCCAGCTCTTCAAAGCTAATTTAAAACAAAACATTGTCACAGCACTGCAATTCTCCAGTGGGATACTGTTATAATTAGCAGGATACTAATAGATGGAAAATGTTATAGTTATAATTACCAGCAATCCATTTGAAGATTTTTTTTTAAAGTTTTGATAAGATATACCTGCTCATTCTGTACTTTCCGAAGACTTTCAACTTCACTTTTCAGGGATAAGTTTTCTGTTCTCAATGCCTTTACAAACAAAAGAGTTTCAATATTGAAGAGTTGCAACACTGCTACTGATCTTTAAATAATAGTAACTGTTGCTATTAATTAAATTTATATGCTGCCCAACTCCCAGTGACTATAATTTATACATTATGTAATTTATAAATTATTTTTATAGTTTATAAATTATTTAAAACATTAAAACTAGACATTTTAGAACAAGAAACAATAAGAAAGATAAAATGGCAGGATGACAAGCAGAGTGTGAGAAGTAAACCAACAAGGCCTAGGTGAAGAGCCACGTGTTCAAGGCCCTTGGAAACATCTGCAGGGTGGGGGCAATCTTGGGGGGAACCTCATTCCAGAGGACAGGCATTGTGACATAAAAGGGGTCTTTCTTCAGTCCTCACAGAGTGTTACTTAAGCACACCAATCCTGCCAGACTGAATTGCCCAAGCACGTACAATGCAACATAGATAGTCCCTCAAAAAAAAACAATAAATTCAATTTGTATGTTAACTTAAATGTAACTCCTCAGTACAGATTTGACCACCTTTTATTATTATTATCAATGGAATAATATCTTAATATAGAAGAATGCTTTACAATTTTTCCCTGGACACTTCAAGACATACCAGAACCTGGCACACATATCAAAGGGATGATGAATGACATCTTCATATTTAGGCATTCCAGCTTGACAGTCTAAAGTGCATTCAACGACACAGTATCAAATGACACTCTGATGTCCTCAGCACAAAAATCTCCGAAGGCCTAATCTTATTCCAGCATAAAGAACAGTAACATGTCTTAATTCTCTCAGCAGAAGGGTGGGTGGGTGGGAGTAAAAGAAGCAATTAGTTGTCTGTAAGTGCAGTTCTTTGAGTGGTCATCTGTGGCTACTTATATGTGAGCTGTGTGTCCACATCACAAACCCTACAAAATCCTCCATGTATACTGTGCAACTTGGCATGGCTAGCTGAGGTACTATGAAATCTTACACACTCCCGCACCACTGAGAAGTAAGCCACGTAACATTCATAAAGTCATTACCTTTAATTCATCCTCCTTATTTGCCATTTCTATGAGCCCAGTTTCAAGGAGTTCTTCAACCGTCTTTATTTTGTCATCCTTATCTGTAATACTGAAGCCAAGAACATGTACATTGACAACTATTCAAAACTGGTTGAAATAATCAGGATGGCAACTTTATTTCTTCAAGGGGTGCTTACCACTGAATAGTCTTCACAGAACCAGCTGTAACACAGCCTTAACTCCTCAGAATATCAATTCATCCAGAAAGCTCCTTCCCATCCTACTTCCTCAATTTCTTTTACTACAGGGAAGGTATTCTTTTGGTGGCTCAGATGCCACACTTAACTTTGTGAAGGTGGATGGAAGCTAATGATGTTGCCTTTCTTTTTGGTGTCCTTCTTTCTTGTTAATTGTGGGGAGGGGGAGAGAATGGGATTTTATTTTCTTTTTTTCACCAATTATCTTAAGCCTACTTTAGATGTACATGGGGTTGTTTTTACATCTGAAAATAGGGGGGGAAATTGCACAGCTGGAATTTTGGAAACATTATCAGTATAAAATTGGGAGAATGCATGCTAAAGTTTCAGTAGCGACAATTTACCAATTTCTGCTTTGCATAGAAATGTCAAGGATGGAACTTGAGAACATCTCTATGTCAAGCCATATTTTCAGAAATCTGTGGCAGACCCATCCCACCCTACGCTATACAGATTTACAGCAAGGTAAACTTGAAAAATGATTATTTCCCCCATTCCTTACCTTCTTTCCAGTTGCTCCAGCAATTCTTTGTTAGCCTAACAAGTAAGAAACAAAGCAATACATGTTAAGTCTACAACTTTCATCCTAAGATATTCAGCTGCTTGGAATCTAAGTGTTTACATTCACTTAAAGTCATGGCACAAAACCCACCCCAGATATTTAAATATCATTAGCTGAGCATTCAAATGGAGTATGTCTGATTTGTTAAGAAGAGTGGCAGAGCAGAGAGGGAAAATGACAGTCTTTATGTGGTAATCTGGGAAACAAATATAGTCTGTTTCTTTCACTTTCTGTTTTCTGATGTTTGTCTGGAACCAAGTTAGTTGAGATGAGAGATGAAAGTGAAGTTCTTGGTGCTCTCAGAATTTGACTGTTTGCTTGCACTATGTTTCACTACCAACCAGATAACATAATGCAGAAATTATAGTCATCAATGCCACTGGTAACTGTACAAATTTGTCCTTTTTGGGGTCTTCCTCAACTATACTCCTGCCCATACACAAGACTGAATTGCAAACTTTGTGGTACCTGACTTAGTTCTTCTAACTCTTCTAACATTGTGAGAGAATCTTTCCTTGGTACTGCTCTCTACATTATCTTGCCATCTTTTATGACTGCACTGCTAAATTTTATCAATCTTTTATAAACCACAATTTTGATAAAATGAATGATGAAAATTATTCCAAGTAGTAGCAATTTGCTTCATAAATTGATGTTATCCCTAGTAAATAGAATCCTATTAACATACAACGTTATTTAATATTACATTTTTCTTGATCAAAGAAATGTGAAGGATTTTATAGCATCCACTGCAACATATTTGGTCTGTACCAAATACCCTATACTATTTATACAAAACCAACAATAACTAATTGCATGCCATCAAATCAGTATTAATTCTTTAACAAGCCTGTAGACAGATCTTCTCTAGGATGACCTATCACCAACCTGGCCTTGAGATCTTTCAGAAGAGCACCCATTCATTCCATTGTGACTGAGAAGCCTACATGTTCTGCATAAGAAGCAACCAATAAGCATCTAGATCTTTGGTCTATTTCAATCTCAGTTATTTTCAGTCAATAATCTTTTAAAATCGAATCACCACAGATCCTTTAACATGGGTGGGCACTCCAGATGTTATGAACTACAACTCTAATATCCCTCTCTCAGGTATGTTTGCATCTCTATAATAGCAAAGGACTTTATATCTTAGCACTGTAACTTAACCACTGAGACTTGTTCAAGAAACTATAAGAAAAATACATAATACTATTTTTATGGAACAATTGTGGAATAAGATTCAATATATAATGGGATGGATTACTTTTTCTATCGTGTATGAAGAGTATGAAGGGCTCTAATTTTTATTCCAGTTTGGAAGACCAAAGAGCTTTCTGTAGCCCTAAGATGGCAGTAAAAGCCAAGCTTCCAGCAGTTGAGAGATGACAAACATTATTTAAAAATAGTTCTGTAGCGTGAGGTTAAATAAAAACAGATGTAAATACAAGTTTTACAGAAGACACTCCTTCTTAGTAAAAATCCCATAATTGAAAGAAAAGGAGCAGGTACCTCTCATTCCTAGTAGAAAAGGGAATTTCATAATAAAGTTGATGTACCATTTTCCTACTTAAGGGAGGATATCCTTATCTGAAGTTAGAATGGTCCCCAAAAGGGTTTGAATGACTCACTGAGCAAACTTACAAAGTATTACTTATGCAAAGCTCTTCTCCTGAAAGAAATGTCAACTTTGATTTGTGAATTAAAAGAGTTATACTATTCTTCCTTTGTAAGGCACCACGTCCTTACCTCATAAAGCTCAGCCTAGTCTGAGGACCATGTTGTTCCCCTGCATATAACACTGAGGAGACATTAGTAGAGAAGGTAGCCAAACTACTAGCAAGATGTACTGAAGATTAGATGAACCAGGCGATATAACTGTAGGCTTCCATGTACTGGGCTAATCACTGAGCATGTTGAAGGAGGCCTTGACATGTTTTATTGAGCGATGAAAGATGTGACCTCTGATTATTTTAACATTGTTGAGATCTCCCTCATGAGTTTAACTCAGAATTGCAGAGTGCTAGCCTAATTACTTTGAGTTCCAAGAAGTCTATAAAATTTTAGTGAATCCAATAACATCCACTGGACAAGTCTCTTATGCCCCAAAGGCTGGCATTGGCAACTAGATGGATAAAAAAGAATTTCCAAAGGAATACACGCTTTTCAAGGGCCTTAGACATCCAGTATATGAAAGACTTTCAAATGTGGTCTCAGTAGAATAAATGACTTGGTCCCCTGTTGCTTCTCCTCTCAAGAAGAGAAATGATGTCTACTGTTGGGAGTATGAGTGAGCCCTGGTCCACGGAACTGAGTCTTAGAGATGACCTAGGGCTGCTGAATTTCAACCATTTGGCATGCATCACTGACCTGATTAATTCCTGTAAGGGAGGAGGGCCAAGCCTGCCAGAATAGTTCAGCTTTGTTTCCAGAAGCTGCAGGAATTAAGCGGGGGCATCTGCCTCTTCTCCCAGTTGATGCAGAAGCCAAGGTATGATAGGCAACAGACTATCTTGCTCACTCTGTTAAAGAATGAAACAGAGGAGAAGGTAATCTAAATAGCAGTAGGTATGAATTTGGTCCTAAGAGAACACTACAGGTGCTACAAGGATCTTTATGTTGCCATGTCAAATGGGGAGAGCAGTGTATTGAGAATGATGGCCCAGTTCAAATCTCAAAAAACCTCCAGTAGATGGGGAAATGAACAGACAAACAAGGTTCTTGGAAATAAAGAAAGGCTAGCCAAAAGAATGGAATTTCGGGTTACCACATGAAACTTATTGCCAGTGGGAATGATTCTATGACTTTGATAGCAAACAGATGGTTGATGGCTTGAAGTAGGTGCTTTGCTTTCTGGAATTTCAGGGAAGAACTTCATTAGCTATGTCACTGCATGAAACACTCAGGTGCCTGAATATTAGAACACTAGCACTAGGCAACTAAGCAAAGCCCGCCCATCCCAAGCTCATGGATGATCTTGATAGGTGGTGTCCATTTATGAAGAACGACCCTTAGATTCCCGGTGCTTCAGCTGATAGTATGACTCATGCCAATAAATTATGGATCCTTGTGTAACGCTGGTTTTCAGCCAAGAAGTCATCTAATGGTTTTCAAAAGTGTTTTCACCAAAAATGCTCAAAGTTAATAGCAACTTGGATTCATTCTTTATTATTTGATTTACACCGTGTCTTTCTCCTGTGGAAAGCACTTGAGGCAGCTGACAAAAGTTAAAACAAAAACAGAATATAGAAATTTAACAAACTGGTTCAGAATACAATGAAATAAATAACAAAATCGTCTAATAAATCAAAGTGCTGTTATACTGTGTGCCAAAAAGATGAGTCTCTTCAAGATGCCTCTCTACCGATCTTAATTACCAGGCAGATTAATAACCAGCGATCTAGTCTGCCTTAGTGATCCTGCTCAACACAACTGCAGAGGAAATATTCGCTGCAGGGTTTGAGGCTACAGGAAATACTTCAGCCACCCTTGGAACTAAAAGTAGACCATCCAGGAAATCTGTGCCCACATTCTTTGGAAATGCTTCCTTCTCCACTGGCTGTGAAACTTCTGGTCTCTTTGAAAGCTTCTTAGGGATGAAAAAGTGAAATCCCCAAATTACATAGCCCACACGGGCAGCTCTGCTGATCTGTTTTGAAAGAATTCTTCTTTCCTGGGCTGTAAGACATGCCTTCCTCTTCTGGGTGTCTTCAAAGATGGTTGTTGCCATGTGCTTGACTTTCTGGCCAATTTGTTTGGGGGGGGGGGTCTCAATTCCCCTAAGAAATTGAAAATATATCACTCCCTTAAGTGGGGTGAGCAAACTACCACCTCTGCATAGCTGTTAAAAAATACTTTGGGCAAGACAGAAGGAGACCTACCTGGAAAGGACATCAGGTCACCTGAAGAGGTCATAGTTTGGAGGGTCAGTCCCTGAGAATGGTGCCCCCTAACCACTAAAATCTCTCCTGATATGTCCAAAAAAAGTGATGGACATTTTCCTGGGCTATCATAAAATGTAACAAAGAAAAAAAGGAAGAAATTGAAAAAAGTAGAAAACAATGAAGTCAAGTGCTATAGGATAAAGCTCTTGTAATGAGCTGCTTACTATAGCAGGCGGGACCAAGGAAGTGGCTGGGAGGTTATTACAGGGTTACAAAGTTTCTTTGGCCTCCCATTGAAACAAGAGAAGAAGCATCCAAGGACACCCTCAGCCATAACAGGAACCAAAATTATGATATGCAGTAATGTTGATTTTTACTCTATCGGAGTAAAGTCAATTAGCAAAAGAAGTCAAAAGCTTCCATAAAAGTTCCTTTCAAATTAGATAGTGGCACTGCTTTTAGATCAGTTCTTAGAAGATAGCCTGTATAAAATAGTCTGTTATGAGGAACATCAAGAAATATTAGGGCTCAACATATCTGCCTCTACTCCAAGCCTCTTTGTGTCAAATTGAAAGGCAAATGGTACATGCCTTTCTCTGTCCATCTCCACCCATCACTGCCCTCTTGGCTACTCTGTACTCTGTCACTTTTGCTGCCCTCTGCTCCTACAGCCCTGCCAGTCCTGCAGCTGATCTTCATCTTCTTGCCCCCCCCCACTGCAGATGAGGCATGCCTGGCCTTTCTGAAGGAGCTGCTGGCCACATGCAGCCTTCTTGCAAAGCAGCCTTGTGAAAAGGCCATGCACCATTTAAAGAAGGGTGTGGACAGCATCAGAAGGCAACGGGGACTGCTAAAGGCCACTACTACAGTCTCAGTACTGTCAATGCCACCATTGCTGCTAAGGAGTGCCAAGGTACAGGATGGGCAAAATGGCAGAGATTTGGAGAGGGGGGGACATAGGTAGGTTGGGGGGGGGAGTTCAAGAAGAGGCAGTTTTACAAAGACTCGGGGCTGGGGAAATCTATCCAGGAGTTATTTGGATTGGGGCGTGTTCTCACCAAATGATCAGAGGGGATTTGGTTAGTGAACGTAACGGGGACTGCTAAGGTGCTGTCTCTAATCAATACAGTCAGGTGACATCTTGCATTATAACTGCTTGGCAGTGGAAATTCTGGTTCTAAATACCATCATTACTGGAGAATTCCTCATATAATAAGGAATTATATCACCATATAGCTGCTGAATGTATAGATTTTACAAACAATTTTTCTTAACGTTACATTTTTGTCATTATTGTTATTAACCTATGTATCACTTGCTAACATTTTCTTCAAAAGCATATTGCACACATGAGAAAAGTTTGAATTTTGAAGAACAGTTGTTTCAAATCTTTTATTCAAAAAGGAAATATTATTCTGCATTAAAAAGGGGAATACATTTATTTCTCCTTGAAGACTGGTTTCAACAGATATACCACTAAAAGCTTTTCTGCTTCTAAAAATGTCAGCACAGGCTTGGTTGACAATAGGGAAGAAAAACTCAAAATCTAATGTTTTAGCAAGGTCACTCAGTAAGTTCATTCTAGTAGGCATGCTTTGTTTAATCTCTCAACCCATCTACCAACCATGCATATAAAAACTAATAGTTGATGACATGGAAAGTTATATTACACAAATAATGTTCCGGGAATGAATTAATGGTGCCATCTGAATGTTTTCCAATCCTATGCTTTTTATTAGGATAAAGTGTTTAGAAGGAAGCATGAGTAAGATAATAACGCATTTTACAAGCCTGAGCTCCTTATAAACACTAGCCAGCCTAAAACATTCATTGAATAACACACTTTCTCCCTCCCTCTCTGTCTCTCTCACACATCCACACATAAAATTAAAACAAAATCAAAATGACCCAGGTAACTATTCTGTTTGCTTTTGCAGCAACACTGCAAGATGTTACAATGATATTCACAGCCTCAAAAGTCCATACTTCCGTTCATCTCATTCAGAAAATTGGTAACAGCAACAGCAATATGGAAAACCTATATGGAAAACACTTTAAATTCCTGCTAAACTCTCTTTATCTTACATTGGACTTCTTTGTATAAAGGAATTACAAAAGTGATTTTATCAGAAGGCAAGAGCTCTGCATGCCCCTGAAAACTCAACATTCCAGAGCTACAATCACAAAGGTAAATAAAAGTGTCCACTCCCATGAGAGTCCCAGAGCAGCCTTTCTTACAGCTGAACTAAACAAGCCTTCTGTCTCCTGGTTCAATCCTAGTATGTACTTCTATGCCAAACAAAGAAAAAGAGGAGGAGAAAGAAGAGGTTGTGTGTCTCATCAACCTTGGCTATCCGCAAGTTACTGTCACTGTGGCCAGGTACTAAATTCAATGCATCTTTTTTATTCAAGTTCCACTGAAGTGACAAGACAGTGGTGGAGGAGAGAAAAATAAAAGGAGAAAAACGTAAATGAATGAACGAGGATTGGCATAATGGGATTCCAAACTGCACCATCATTTTTGCTTTTGCATCCATATGTTTTGGAAGGGATTACTGAAGATGCAGATGACTTGTTCCAAGTCTGCTAAGGCCAACTTGCCACAATATAACTGCCATGGGACAGTTCAACAAATACAGAAGTTAAATTAATTTTGACTGAACCATGGCCAGTAATAATAAAGGTTAATCCAGAAATACAAAAATTATGTGGCCACCAATAATAAAAGTACCTGAATGAAACCATTAATACAGCATTGAATTATCCTGCAGTGAATTGTCCCATGGTGAGTTGGCTGTGGAAAATGGATGTGGTGAGTTGTCCCAGACCTCATTGACAAGAACTTGGTGTAACCGATTCATTAGAAAGGGAATATCAACAGCTTTTTACAGTGGTTGAAGCTGCTGCTCAGCCTGATATTGTATTGCCATATCCAGCCCATGTAACATTGTTCTGCATCAAATTAAACCTTAGTAAACATAGCCTATTTATTTTCATTAAACAGAGATTGAACATTCTATAAATTATTATTATCTGCAGCAAAGTGTGCCATACCTGCTCAGAGAGGACAGCCTGCAGTTTCTGAATTTCCAACCGAAAAGTTTTGTTTTGATCCTCTAGATCCTAGAATGTAATTGTCAGATCATACTGTTAATCTGGAATTACAAACTTGGGGATGGTTCTTATCATTTTCTTGAAGAGGAATAGCAAGAACATATAAAGAAATGTTAAGTGATTCCTACTGGAACTGGCTTCAATTACATTTGGGGGAAAAACAAACCCAGAGACACAACTCTTTATATGCAATATCTTCCCTATTTCAATCTCTAAACATGGTTTAATTTATCCTTAACCTGTTCGTTTTAGGATTTGGAAAATTTCAAAAATTCCAGATGGAATGGTCATTGGCAAATAATTTCAAAGTGAGATTATTTAAAAAACAATGAACATAGTAACTGCAATTAAGCAGAAGTTAATCAACAAAATGGAATACTGCCAAAATATTGGGGAGGGGAGGAGAGGAGAATAAATAAATAAATAAATAAATAAAACAGGAAAGGGACCAAATAAGATCCAAACTGCTTCAAAAGGGCAAGGACAGCCAATCTGGACTTTTCTAGATATTTCAATTCCCATAAACCCCAAATTTGATTAATAGACAGGGTTTTGAGAAGCACAGAACATTTATTGTATGGCACATTCACATCACATTTTGATAAAAAACACAAAAGATAAAAATACAAAATATGAAATAATTAATTTAAAATATTGTAACCAGGAAGCATAGAGTAAAGGCATCAGAATGCCTGCTCCTGGTTCAGGAACAGGGAAGAAATAAAGAAAACTAATGCTGAAGAAAAACCAGCATTTAATAACATTGCCACAATCATAAGCTTTTGGACCATAGATAGTAATCCAAGCTGAGACCACATTTCAGAATGGACTCCTTAGGTATTTTGATGAAATATGTAATATTCTCCACAATTTAGACTCTTAGAGCCAATCAATGCATAAATAATTTAATTTTGGCTTTCCTGTTTCATTGTTTCCTATTTCTACTGTCAAGAGGTTACTGTCTTTTATTCCACTATAAGACAGCTTTGTAAAATATAATACCTGAAGTTCCTCCTTTGCATCTGAAGCTTTGGAGTAATGTCCTTGAAGCTGATCTTCCAGTGTTCTGATTTTGTCATCTTTGACATGCACACTGGAGGGGAGAAAAAGATTAAAATAAGTTTCCTCCTTGCTCGTAAGTCCTTGCATGAGACCCTCCTTGTTCCGAACTAATGCATAATAATTCCAGCATTGGTTTCTCAAGAAGCAGTTTTCATTGGTTTTACCTTTTCTGTATCCGCTCCAGCTCACGAATGGTAACCACCTAGACGTAAAAAGATTAGTACATTTTTTAATGTCACATCACATTTTACTCACATCCAATTTTTTTAAAGGTCACATTTAGTTTCTGGATCTGCTTTTCGTTCTATGACAAGAAAAGGGACCACACATATCCTTCGTTTGGCTCTGAGAAAGGACATGTTGTTTGAAAGGCTATGATATTTTCAAAGCATCCTGATCTAACAGAAAATAAAATATTAACTTTTAGGTAATATCTTAACAAGTGGAAACACTCTAGGAGAAATGGCCATTTGTACATTTTATTTACAATTGTACATGAATAGATTTAAACATCTGTATATTGGTAGGAATGAGATTGGCAAGTCAGGTATGTTTAAATCCATGTTCACTCAAGAATCCACATTCTTGACCTTAATGAGGGCAAATGCATCTAGTTCAGGGGTCCCCAACTTCTTGTCTGTGACTCACTACCAGTCCGCGGGCTAATTCCACTGGGCTGCCTGAGCGGTTGGCCTGTGTGCACACATGGCCCCACTCACACAAGCCTTATTGCTTGCGGATCCGCTCATACTACGTCATAGTAGGCGCTTGTGCACCTACTCGCGTGGGCATTCATGGCCCCTCCCACAAAATCATCTCCTCTTTTCCCACTCTGGACCACCAACCCAGATTGATTGGGGAATTCTGATCTAGTTGTGCTACATATAAATTTTTTGTTGTTTCAAATTAGAGGGCAAAGTTGTGTACTGAGATTGGTACAAGAAAAGTACAGGTACTCAGCTTACGACCACAACTGAGCCCAAAATTTCTGTTGTTAAGTGAGACATTTGTTAAAGGGAGTAAAATAGAAGGGCTAAAATAGGAGGAGGAAAGAATATTATATATGTTCGCCACTACGAACAACTGTTGTAAAGTCGAGGACTACCTGTAATCAAAGCAAAAAGAGACTGGAGAAAAATTCAGAGAAGCGACAGAAGGCTATTGCTTCAGGAATCCATTTTTTGTCTACCAAATAAGAAAACAAGTCTAGGCGGAAAACAATGTTATACAGTATTCTTCATTTTATGGTGGGTTCATGTTTGTATGCAATACTGTACTCTATGTTTTCAAGTCACTTGGAATTTTCGTAAATCAGAAGTTCCTCTGAGTAGGAATAGAGCAATATTATTTTGTCTGCATAGAACCTAATACTTTACTTCATCTTCTGTTACAATTTCTTTTAAGATGATATGATTTCAACTACTCTGTACTCTTATTTCCTCCATTGCTGAATGTTTTCTCATGATAACGCTTAAAAGTTAAAAAGGGATTTTTGTTTCATTCTCCCTTTTCCTTTTTAAAAGTAAGTTTGATTCCATTTATTTCTTTTGCGATAAGATTATCTCTCCAAATGGGACACCGAAGAAGGCGCTGATTCCCCTATCCATATGGGTCAGTGGTATTGAAGCAGATTCCCTTTTTAATTTATCAGAAAACCCACAGAAGTGGAACGTCTAGTGAAGGCATAGTAAACATGTCTCTGTGGAGTGTGGAGAAAACTGTGAAAAAGACTGAAGAACCAGTGAGTAGACTCGGTAAGGAAAAGATGACAGATTGCTCCTATGTATTCCAGACAGCTGCTCCCCACAAGGGTAACAGTCTACACTGTGAGTCTGAGCGCCAGTACCTTTTAAAGGACACTAACTTCAGTAACCTTAATTCTAATTTTGGAAATTGCTTATTGTTTCTGAGCGTATGCCAGTACTTTAATATTAGTCTAATTGTGCAGCTGCCAGAATAATCCTAATTTATTTCATTGAGCCAATAGGATGGTGATTTTTCCAAAATCCTTCTGCTACTGAATAAACAATATTTAGCATTATTAATGGATAAGTCATCATCCTGACTGCCCAGAAGAAGACTTCTTACCTGATCATTTGTGATCGCCTGCAACTTTTGTACTTCTGCTTTCAGAGACATGTTGATATTCTGGACAACCTGCAGAGGGGAGAATGAGCATTCTTAGCTCTTCTATTCAATCTACTATTTGGCACACTGAATTAATATTAAAAAAGCTTTCCTGTGCAATTTCAAAAAGGCTAACAAAGATGGAAATCAGCAGAACAGACCACCTGGGCAGTTTGCACGACCAACTGTACAAATGCAGAAGGATGAAATGGAAGAATGGACGGTCACCTCAAGCTACAGTTGCCATGAAATAACAAATGCCTCAGACACTCCATAGCTACAAAACTAGACTTTCAGGCAGCACATTTGAATTTTGTTGGATCTGTTTGCGCTACTGAATTTGCAGAGAACTGCTTTGCATTTTGGAGAACAAAGAATGGTATTTTATTTCTGAATTTGGATAAGATCCAAGAGTGAGGCATTTATAGCATGATGGGATGAAAAGAAAAATGTTTGTAAGGTTTGAACTGGCTTGTTGCAGGCTCAAAAGGTTTCTGAAGAAAAGTGGCTGATGGATTATGCTGGTATCAATTCTCACTCTCTATTCATGTAATCTTGTTTCAGAGTCTATCTTGCTAATTTGGAACAATTTAATAATTACCATTCTCTATAAAAACATTCTCTTAAATCTAAATGTTACGCATTTTCCTTCCCATCCATGCAACATAATCTACCTTTCTAAGGATTAGGAAGAGAAACTCCTGTAGCTTTAGAGTAATTTGTAAACTGGGAATTGATCGGACGCTTACTGGACACTTTCTAAGATCTACTGTCTCTCTTAAACTGCTGAAGTTTTTACCGCTTTCATTATAGGTGCCTTCATGCTTGCATAGGCACATCCCTTCCCTTGAAGGCAAGAAAGTAGAGAGTACTGAAGTCACAGAACTGAACTAGAGCAAGCAGAGGTAGTGTTTATCAATGATTTGATGAGCAGTGATAAATACAAGCATGAGATAAATACAAGCATGGGAAGACAAAATCAAGGCAACAGCTATCATTGAAATTAGACAAGAACAAATTATTAGTCCACTTTTTGTTTACATGAAATATGAACTACACCAACAGCAGCAGATACAACCACCTAAGACAACTTGACTGCTACTATTAATTATTTCCACAACTGAAAGATAACTCATTCCACCTTTTCACAAATAATATTTCATTTTACCATTAGATCTTCTTCCTTGCTGGTTAGTTTGAGTCGTTCATTGGCTAAGGACTCCTCAGACTGATTTATTTGCTGGTCTTTTTCTGCAATTCTGTAAGCATTAAAACAAAATCAATAGTGATCTATAGTGGCCTTCATAAAAGGTAGTCACAGTATTCGTTAAAGTTGTTGCAGTGGATTGTTCTATTAGTGTTTTAGAATATAAGCAGACACTGTGCTCTCTTGATGAAATGCAGTTTTTAAGGTTTCTATTATATTCTATTCATAATTCTGCAGATCAACTTGGGGTGAACAGGAAAAGGTAGTATAGTATCTAGAGCAATGTATGTAACAGTATGTTTTCCATAAAGTAACATCAGTGCTTAATTTCAAGATATAGTCATTTAAAGAGGCTTTAGAGCAGGGGTCCCCAAATTCCCAGGCCACAGCCTACTCAGAACTGGGCTGTGCAAGTGGCAGGTGAGCGTGCACATGTGCACAGCTCCGCTTACGCAAATGGAGTTGTGCACGCTTACACATGGCTGCCACTCACACAGAATCATCCCCTTCCCCCTACCAGTCCACCAAGCCGGAAAGTTTGGTGATCATTTCTTTAGAGTCACCTAACAATAACATACGATTTAAGATAAGAAAAAAAGAAAAGAATACTTTCACTATTGGGTTCAAGACAGAAAGTATGCCATTATTGAGGATTTCATTCAGTTTCCAACCAGTACATGTTTTATTTCCTTATACTGATTTGCGGATCAGAGAGCCTGAGGTTCAATACATATTCTAGAATTGCGGGTGTTGGTTTTATTCTTCTCTCTGCTTTTGACCTTTGGTTTGCTCTGATATAGAGGTCAAAAATCAAGTCAGTTGCATCATTTAGTCCTATATGACTTAAACTTTCTTTAGATCTGTCTGACTTTAGCAATGCTAAATCAGGGCCACTACATTGCCTAACCACAGCCTTATCAATGTAATGTTAACTATTATACTAAGGCAGATAGTAGCATTACATTCCACCTGCCCTCACCCCCTCACCCCCCAAAAAAACCCACCAAAGAGGAGAATTGATAGGGGGACGGTGAAGAGAAACTGTTGAAGAACTGATTTGGAATGACAGAAAATAGCTTACATTTATTTTTAATTTCATTCAAAATATTGTTACATTGCCTTTCAAGACAGTTTCCAGAACAGTTTGTAAAATTTCCCTCCATACAAAAAGTTTCAGAATCAATTGCAAATCTCATCACAGAACTGAGAAGTCCTCACCTGCTGCGTTAGGGTGCCGGAATACAAAAATAGTCACAGAAACTAAAGCTATTAGAAATGTTTATTTTTAAAAATGTAGGAGAAGCTGCTCTTCCTTTATCTCATACACAAAGCCCCACAGCCACACACTGAATCATACACAATGCTATTTTAATGTAATGTATGAAAAACAAGAAGGGGACAAAGGTAATTCTTCTCCTAAAACAACATAACATACAATGCCCAGAAAACATTCAATCTAAAAGGGAAATCCTTAGGAAGATGCCGGTAACTTCTAAGAAGAATTTGTTACAATAGAGGGTAAAAATATTGACAATTACTATATTTCCTTCAACAAAATCTCTTTCATATGCCCTCATACTCCTTACATGTACAAGGAAATAATTAGCACAGAAGCAACAGAAGGTCTGGATGTACATGTGGAAAATACTTACACTTTGTGCAATTCTTCAGCAAGGGCTGAAGCTGAATTCTGAAAAAGAGAAGCAACAATGGGAAATGAATGTATGAAAGAATAAAAGGTTTAAAGCGCTACTAACTTAGAAGAAGGCTAATTCTTTCTCAGTGTTAAGGATTTTGTTTTATTAGTATTTAAGGTGTTGCACTAGGGTCAAGGAGACTCGGGTTCAAGATCCTGGAGAAAAGGATATTAGAAATCTAATAAATACCTAAACAAATCAATGTAAACCTATCGCTTCCATCAAATTAATCTGTACTCTCTTTCTCTAGTAGCAATGGCTTTGCCTCTTATCCTCCAGCTGTCAAGCTAGATACCTACAGTAATAGTTATCACTCTGTAAGAATTCTGAAAATGAGGTACTGCAGCTTTCTGTTCAAGTGCACAGTATGCCCGTGGTATAATATGTGTTTCACAGAATTCTCATGGAAAGATGCAAGCAGAGCAGTAACCTGCTCTAGCAAGCTGCACATCTGAAGCACAAGGAAAGAGCAGCATGGAGAAGATGGAAGAGACTGGCTCCTAAGTAATTGTGGCCACCTGTTCTAGTCTGATGCCCAATGCGTGTAACAGTACAGCTTGTCACATATACCTGGACTGCCATCTGTGAATGGAATTTCTGAAGCTGAGCTTTCAAAGCCTCATTCTGTTCCATCAGCTCCTTTACAAAAAAGAAAATACAAACAGTGAAATACTCTATTCTAAACTAGCAATGTGCATAAACACAATAATATTTTTATACAACTGTGCTACTAAAATTATTCACTCTGGAAAAAAATCTTAAAGTTTCCCCATGCTGCATCATATGGAAATTACAGAAACATCAAGAAACCTGAGGCTATCACGGGAAGTCTTAATTCACTTAAGAAAACCTCAAATACATCAGGGTTATTCAATACTGTCTGTTAGCCCTTCCAGGCAAAACACAGAGAAAACAGGATTACGTGAACTAATTCAACTTTATTGTAAGGCTACCTTAGCAGAATCTAGTAACTCTAAGGCATAATATTACTGCCTACACTCTTAACTGCTTGATCCAATAGGCTGAAAACTTCCTAAATTCGTTTCCTTGACCATTAAAAGTCACTGGGGGCTCTTGCCTATCTTGACTGATTGTTTCCTAGTCAGCATCACTTGCACCCCACACCGCCTTTCTCAACAGCATCCACACACTCCATTACAGTGCCTTTGGAATCATTTTCTAAGGTTCCCTATACAATTTCCAAAATATTTATTTATTATTATTTTATTTATTTATTTATTTATTAGACTTATATACCGCTTCATAGGGCTTTCAGCCCTCTCTAAGCGGTTTACAAATTTTTTAGCAAATTGAGTCAGCAACTTGCCCCCACAGTCCGGGTCCTCATTTCACCCACCTCGGAAGGATGGAAGGCTGAGTCAACCTTGAGCCGGTGAGATTTGAACCGCTGAGCTGCAGATCACAGTCAGCTAAAGTGGCCTGCAGTACTGCACCCTAACCACTGCGCCACCTCGGCTCTTTTTATATAAAATATACTGCAATCGCAATAGGAGCACAAAGTCAGTGTAAAACAGGATTTGCCCAACCATGCAGATTGTACTATATGTAACAAAACCAAGGTGACAGTTCACCAAAAACCACCCCAGAGAACTAAAATTCATTTTTCACATTTTAGCATCCTGACTCAGGATAAATTGGTTGTTATCAAATTAATAATCTTAATATGCAACATATCCCGTAACACTGATGTTGTAAAGAAAAAAAATATCAAAGCATTAAAAGCTAAACATGATCCCAGCAGAATGTCATACCTGCACCTGTCTCTGGATAGAATCCTCAGTTGTGACCCTCTTTTGTTCTGCTTCCATTAATTGCATCATCCTTTGTTCCAGCTGTTGTTTTGAGACCATTGTATCAGTTAGCTTGCTGTGCAGACTCTGGATTTCATTATCTTTGGTCACAAGTTTATTCTGCACATCTATTACAAGAAGCAAAAAATTACTGCTACTAATTAGTTGGGGGGAGCATCTTACCATTATCAGATATGTAAACTATATGAGTGTGAGTGGTCACACTGAATTTTATGGAAGCGTGGGGCATAAATATTTTAGCCATACAGAAAAAGAGACTGATGTAGGAATGATCTGGCTCAGAACATAAGCAGCAGAATCTCAGCATGAGATCACCACTCTGGAGAAAAGAGACAGAAAGTGCATCACTCTCTCACACTATTAAGAACAAGCTATTATACACTGAAGGATTGCATGAGTGATGAATATCTGTAGCTCAGGTATAGGATGAGGGTGAAGTTTCATTCTTCAAGCTTGTGGATTGGTTTCTGAACATTTCCTTACCAGGCTAAGTAACATCTTCAGCAGAGTTTAGGGGACCCCTAAACTTCACTGAAGATGTTACCTAGCCTGGTAAGGAAATGTACGGAAATCAACCCACAAGCTTGGAGAACAAACCTTCACTCTAACATTAGGGGATGTAACCAATGGTGGTTCTATTCTGCAAGAAGGTAGTTATGCATGCAAAGATAGCTGAATTTTGCACTACCCTTTCTCTTCCCTTCAATGAAGAGACAGGAAAACTATAGTAGGTAGAAGGGAAACCAGCAAAAATTAGATGCCTTGCTTTGAACAATGTAGGAACTCTGTCGGAAATCCCATGCTCCCAACAACACAAAAAGAACTTTAAAGAAACCAGTTTTATCCCAGTGATAAAAAAAAGGAGGGATCATATTCGACAGCAAGGAAGACGCTCTGAATGCACCTTGCTGGGCAGCCTCATGTTCTGCTGTCCGTTTCCTGAGATAACTTTGCATTTCCTCCCATCTTCGTTCAGCTTCCTGTTGTTGTGCCTTAATGTTTAAAGGAAAGGAAAAGAATATACATGACTGCCTGTATTGCTACATCACTCACAAATCATAAAAGGTCAAATATTTCTTGTTCTTAATAATTGAGTCATGCACTAATGCAAACATATAAAAAAGCAGATTAGTCAAATATTTAAGTGACATGGAGTAGAATAAATAATTCAAGGCTGATCCTAAAAAAATGTGGGCTAAAAATTGAATAATTATAATGCTTATAATAATAAAGGGGTGAATATATTCCAATGTTTCTCAACCTCGGAATTTTAAAGTTTCTTCAACTTCTAGAATTCCCTAGTGAGCATGCTGGCTGGGGTATTGAAATCCAGACATCTTAAAATTGTTGAGGTTGAGAAACTGACATATCCCTATACAACCAACACATTTTAATGTGAACTAGATTGGCACCATGCTTGCAATTCCACAAAATTCAGAGTCTAAAAAAATATGGCAGGAGCAAATTAAGAATTGTTTTACAAACCTACAAATCAAGCACTACTACCTATAGTCAGGACAGGAACTGATCCATTGTTATCATCACAATAAAATAAGAACAAAGCTATACAGCCCATACGCCTAAATCAGTTGAAGTAATTTACTGAGATAGCTATTCCATTTTTATAGTGTAACCAGTCAGTCATCCAGAATACCTTTACCATTAATCTGCATATCTGTATGCATATAGACATGATGAATATGAAATTATCTCAGAAGAGGAACTATGCAAGTTCATACATAATACAGGGTGTTAGGCTGCTTCCAGGGAATCTTATTGTTGTAATGAATGTCTTACTCTATCAGAAATAGATCATTAAAACACAATCTTTAAATTATCGTATCTGCTACAAGAAGAGGCTACAAGCAGCTTAAAAACAACTTTATTGTGGTATTTTTACGTTGTTTTTATACATGTATTATGAACCGATTTAAGAACCAGTACAGAAGAGACGTAATACAAATTTTTAAATAATATATAAAGTAATACTTCTAACCTGACAAGTACCAATTAGAAAATACAAGTCACTTATGTAACATTGTCTAATAAAATTATGGTTGGGTGCCATCTCTATACCCAATCAAATGAAATTATTAGGCATTTTTATAGAATGCTATAACACATACTCTAGCAATAAAAGAGGAGTTTATAACTTGCTGGCACTGATTTATATACAGGTCATAATGTTTCTGTAGCTGGTAATTCATTAAAAGAAGAGTTCACAATTATTGTGTATTCTATTTGAATTAGTAACATATTGCTTGTCTATGCATCTCCTTTGGGGAGGGTCAAACTGCCCTTTGCAGAATTTTTGCATGATCATGAAATACAGCATTGCAATGATGAAAAACTGGCAGAAAATACAGTTTGTAAGCATGGCAAATCAATACTATAATAGAACTGCCACTTTCACCTCTCCTAAAAAGTGATTTCAAGATTTCTCTAACATTCAGGAGGATTTTTCAGAGATATAATGGGCATTAGAAAGAGGAAAGAGGAAAGAGGAAAAAACAATCTTAATTATTTTAATTTCACATTGGTGTAAAATCACACAAACCAACTGGTAAAGGAGGGATTTCAGATGCATCTCCTCTTTCTGCAGCCATTAGTAATTTTGTGACATATAGTTTGTCTTCTTACTATACATATAACAGAATAACAGAGTTGGAAGAGATCCTGGAGGTCTCCTAGACCAACCCCCCGTTTAAGCAGGAAACCCTATACAACTTCAGACAAATAGTTGTCCAATCCCTTCTTAAAAACCTCCAGTGTTGGAGTACCCACAACTTCGGGAGGCATGTCATTTGATCTGGCATGAATATGCTTACCATACCTGGCAATAGTATTATAGAGAAGCCATACCTTCTTTGGATCTCATACAACCAAGAAAAGACAAAATTTCATTAAGGTGTTTCAGAAAAGGATAGATGATTCCAAAGTATTTTCTCACTCTGGATCCAAATACTGCACACTTCTGTTGGCAATCCTCACATGGGAGAGATTGCAAAGTCCCATTTCCTCTTGGCGGCTCTGAACCATTTGATTTGTATGTTTGCGAACACCGGATTTGCCACAAATATGAAGACAAGTTGATACTCACCTTTAACTGATTGATGCCTTGTTCTGCATTTTTCTTTAGAAGCTCCTCTTGCTGCAGTTTGTTATTCTTTTCTGTCAGCTCGTTCACTAGTCTAGCACAATCTTGACGCAATTTGCTCAGCTCTGAAGACTGCCTAGATACAAAAACAATTAGTTGTTTTCACCATATTGGCAATGTGAATGAAGAACATTGGACAGAAGATCAAGCTGCAGTCACCATGAGTGAAGGTATGGTAATATTTAAACACATATGGAAACTATTAAAAATAACGCTATGTTACTGGGACAGGCCAGTTAACTTAAGTGGTACCACTATGGGTTCTATCAAAAATGAAATTCAGTTTCCAAGTTAAAGAGCAAAGAATCAAAGGAAGAAAAGCTTGATTAAATTTTGCTCTTCTCACATGTAGAGATTCTGAAATGCTAAAGCAACTAATAAAAATTTACCTCTGCCTCCAAATGACTATTGTAAAGAAAACCTCCAAATCATCACGCAAAATTCACCGAGGTGATGAATATACACTTTGAACAGAAGACCCTATGCAAATAATTTCAATGCAAAATTGCAGGAGAAATCATTCAGGCACAGCAACAACTGTACAGTTAACTATAACTAGGTATATTGGTTCTACTCAGTCAAATATATGGTATTTTTCGGAGTGTAAGACGCACCTTTTTTCCTCAAAAAAGAGCTGAAAATCTGGGTGTGTCTTATACATCAAATACAGCATTTTTTGCCTCCTGAAGCCCTGCCCCCTTCACCAAAATGGCCGTGCATAGCCTTGTGGAGGCTTTCAGAGAGCTCCTGGGGGCTGGGGAGGGAAGAAATGAGCAAAAAATGGGCTTTTTTGCCCCCCCAGCCCTCAGCAGCACTCTATAAGCCTCCATGAGGCTATGCATGCAATTTTTTGACAAACAACAGGCCCGTTTTCACAAAAAACGGGCTGTTTTTTTGCTAGTTTTTTTGCCCCCAACCACCCCAGGAGCACTCTGCAACTCCCCCAAGGCTAGTCATGCCTTTTTTTTGAAACCGGGGCCTTTTTGCAAAAAAACGGGCCATTTTTGGGAGGTTTTGCAGAGTGCAAAAACTTTTCCCCCCCTTTTGGAAAGCTCTTTAACTGATTGATGAGAATTACATTGATGAAGTGCTGTGATAGCAGAAACAAAGTCTTAGGTGCTGCAGATTGTCAGCGATTTCCTTCTCCAGCACATGGATAAATACACCTGGAAACATCTACCCACCTACCTACTTTCTCTTTCTCTCTCCTTACCTACCTACTGTATTTCTCTCTCTCCCCCTCTATCTACCTACCTACTCTCCCTCCCTCCCTACCTATCTACTGTATTTCTCTCTCTATTTCTCTCTCTCTATTCCTCTGCCTACCTACCTACCTACACTCTCTCTCCCTACCTACCTACTGTATTTCTCTATCTCTCTATCTCTCTCTATTTCGCTCTCTCTCTCTTTCCCTTATCTATCTACCTACCTACCTAACTACTCTCTCTCTCTCCGTACCTACCTCTTTCTCTCCATCTCTATCCCTTTATCTATCTACCTACCTACTTTTTTTTTAATTGGCCTCTTCAAAACCTTGATGTGTCTTATATTCCAATGTGTCTTATACTCCGAAAAATACGGTAAGTACTGCTTTGAAAATCCAATGCTTGAATTTTACAGGGAGACTGGGAAAATAATTATTAGGGTAAAAATAATGAGAAGAGTTGAACAAAACATAAGATAAGTTATGAATTTATTAAGCATTCTCCCTTGTGCTACTCAGAGGCAGAAATTCTTCTAAATTTAATTTGACACTAAATGGCAGAACAGATTGGAATAAATTTCCATGCTATCTCCTACAGCTGAAAAACTAAAATTAATGACAATAAATACTGATCTTTCTTTTTATTATCAGCAAACATCTTATCAGACTGATCTGCTCTACATTTTGACAGTAATATGAAGAATACTCAAATTGATAGCACTGATTTTTAAAAGCAAATAAAAAGCAATAAAATCCCCCAATAAAAAATAAAAGAATTTATTTTCTGTAAATGAAATAGAATAATATCCATTTTACAGGATACCAAATTATATGAACACTACCTTTTTCTCGACCCCTCTGAATCCCTCATTGCACTGCAATGGATCTAACAAAACTATGCAACTAAGATAAAAAAGATAAGAGTCTCCTTCCAACTTGGCTCCAGGTAATTTCTTGGCCAAAGAATTGAGGCCTTTGAACTATGGTGCTGGTTAAAATTTCTGCTAGTCCCTTGGACTGCAAGGCAATCAAACCAGTCAGTCCTAGAGAAGATCAACCCTGACTGCTCTTTAGAAAGCCAGATCCTGATCCTGAAGATGAAAATTAAATACTTTGGTCACCTATTGAGAAGAAAAGAGTTACTGGAGAAGAGCCTAATGCTTGGAAAGATTGAGGGGAAAAGAAGACGGGGACGAAAGAGAATTAGGTGGCCGGATGGACTCACTGGAGCAGTAGGCGTGAGCTTAAATGGACTCCAGAGGATGGTAGAGGA